TCCAAAATCCTGAACCACCCCTTTAAATAGGACATATAATGCTTATTTTTAAAGCTACTGCAGAGCTGCCAACTCTCACGCATTGGCCGTAAGACACACGCATTTGATTGGTTTCACACGCTCACACGCCACACCCCTGATTTCTCACGCTGAAGTGTCAACCTGGTCGGTCAAATGCCTGGAAGATGAGTTAATCTATATATCTACCTGTTGAGCCACTCGTGATCGACTAGTTATATGCCGCGAATTAGTTAAAATCTCCCGGAATCTAGAGCGACCGCGCACGCGAGACAGAGATGGTGCTCCAAACCGCGTAGCGTGCGCGCACACGGCAGAGAGGGAAAGCAAGCGAGAGACCTTGCGTGTGCAAGCCATAGCTTAAATTAAGTGCAACTTTTGTGGTGCATTGCGGTCTTTGGATCTGCCTGAAGTGTACGGAGTAGACTCGCTCCATCAGTCAAAATCGCGGGGTCGAGGGTCTGTCAAAAATAAACTTCCCTCGTTGAATGCACTTTAAAATGGCGGTAGGGAATTTTTAAATGTTAAATTAGAGATAAAGAATTAGGTGTGTGTTTGACTTCATGCAGTGCTGTGCAGCCAAATCGGCATCTGATTTTAAGCAGTGCATGCCATTTTTGTTTAATTAATGACAGGACCGTTGCCATGTCACCGCGAGAGTATGGAGCCCCTAAAGGGACATGGTGAAGAAAAAAAATATGAGATGGATGAAAAATGATGTCAATGCTTTTGCGTTCTTTCGCAAATGTTCTGCATTCCCCTAAGAAACTTTGCATTCGTTTTCAAAAAGCTCAAAAGGGACGGAGCCCCTAAAGGGACATGGTGGTGAAAAAAAAATGAGATGGGACGAAAAATAACTCATTGCTTTTGCGTTCTCTCACAAATGTTTTGTGTTCCCCCAAAAAACTTTGTGTTCGCTCGTGTTTTTGCGAGCGAACGCAAAGTTTCTTGGGGGACTGCAAAGGTTTTGCGAGCGAGCACAAAATTTCTTGCGGATGTCAATGAATATGACAAATAGTGCATCTAATCCGCAAACACCACGTGAGCGTCACTACAGAACACGGAAAATGTCAAACTTTACGTCTCCTATCTAAAATTCTTCCCAGACTGCAAGCGGCTAGTGATGGGTCAATCATGCACGATTCATTACTTGTGAACAAAATCTTTAATATGACTCAGGAACAACAAGTTGTCTCAGAGAGTGATTTGCTCATTTTGTGCTGACTGCACATGCGCAACATCCTATAGCCTAGGTTCTGTACAGGAAACAGAAAGACCTGGGGGGGGTGAACAAATAATTTCTGTTTTCGTTACAGACTGCATCTTCAGCCTACGTCACAAAAGAACAAACAACTCGTATTGGGAGGTGAGGTGAACTAAAAGACTGCATAGCCTGAAGACCCAGCTAAGCAATGAATTAATCGTTTCTGTTTCTCATAATGTGATCCACATTTGCATAAGTAGATGTGTTTTGGAATTTGGCTATTAACATGTAACTGTGGCGAGCAGGCCGCGAGGCCGGTGGCGTGAGTGGTAATGAGCGACACCTGTGAGACGCACCGGTCTCGCATCTCTCACGGAGGAGCGGAAGCATCAAGGAGGAGCGACGACAGTGAAGACTGAGAGAGGAACAGGCCTGATTTTATGTTGTGTTTTGTTTCTCTGGCCAGCAGTCGTCCGTGAGGGGCTGCTGGCTTTACTTTCAGTTTGTATTTGTTCATTTTATTATTAAAGTGTTGAATGTTCACCGGTTCCCGCCTCCTTCTTCCCATAACATCTGAACCCCGTTACAGTAACATTTTAATTATATTCTGCTGAAATGAACGAAATGACTTGAAGAAAAGATTCTTTCATTTTGTGGAGTGAGATTCAAAAATCTGAGTGAGTAAAATTATCCGGACTTCCCATCACTGAGAGGGGTAAATGTCACCGATTGATTAAATCCAGCCAAAGTCAAACACACCTATTAACATTTCACCCAGGAACAAAATGTCACAAATGTTCTCAGCCAATGAGCGATTCCCATCGTCCTTTTGGTTTGTGCTGCTAGCCTGGTTCTAAAAACTGAGGCTGCCTTGCCGTACATTTACAGACATTTTAGCATGTGCCAGCATGGCATCACTGCAACTATGGGCTTGATGTTACTTTTTTCTTTATCTCTAGCCAGTGTGGCTAGTGGTTTTCCAAAGTTACTAGCTACTCAGCATTTTCACTGGCCACAATTTTGTCATCACCATGGAAAAAACTGCCATATAGATATTCTTAATATTATCTCATAATTTGGCAGCAGGTATATAAGGCTGTCACTAAGGCCTGATGCACGGATCCATTATACTGTTACACATGGATTTTCTTTCTCAACTGTTTACGTTCACTTAAAACATAACTGGCTGTGTTTACGTGAATACTCGCCAAGACATTTTGACATTATTTTGTGTGTATTTAACTGTTTAGGTGCAATACCAAAAAATATCTAAATTCATTACTGAGAGGCGGCTTTTTGTGCGCGTACTTTGGGTGTGAGCACAAAATCTGCAGGAATGAGTAATATTATACGCAATGTGCGCAATCCCATGCCGAAATTCAAGCCCTGTAACACCAACAATATTAATCCGGAGAAAATGAAGGAGAGGCGGGTTTGTGCGTCGCACGCTGTCGGAGAGATGAGAGAGAGAGAGAGAGAGAGAGAGAGAGAGAGAGAGAGAGAGAGAGAGAAGAGAGAGAGCACTGGTATCGTTTATCTATTCTATTTCGAATTTTTCTCGAAAACTTTCTATTTCTGACAACACTACATTGAACTTATTTTATTATTTCATAAGCCTTTTTAAAAGAATACAATTGAAAAATGTGTATACATTATATACAAAATTCAAGCCGTCAAAGTGGCTAGTACGGAGTGACTGTGTTGCACACCACTGCTAAAATACACCCACATTTGGCATTGTGTGTGAGTGTGTGTGTGTATATATATAGGCCTATATATATATTTCTTTGGCAACACTGTTCTACTCCTAATTTATGCCCAATAAATCGAGAGGCTGCTCACTGCAGAGCCATGGTGGAGTGTGGAGTCCAGCTCCCCCTATCTGGATGTAATTTGTGTGTAATGGGTGAAGCTAGAAGGTCTAACCACACCCTAACCCCACTCTATCCCTCAACCCATGACGTCCAGAGAGGTGGAGCTGGATATCATATGGCTCTGCAGTGAACACCACTTGAATAAATCAGAATTTTATTGACAAATTAAAACAACAATGTCATGTGTTAAAGCATCATTCATTTTTGTGAGTGTTTTGCATTTTGCCTGATTGATTGGTTGATTTTATTTGACAATGTATTTAATAATTGCTCTGTTTTAGTCCGATGTATTAACAATTGTCGATCAAATTTAGCCTTTTTAATTAACCACTTAGACGTATAGAATCTAGTCCATGTTTAGTGTGCTCAAATGGTTAAAATTGAAATTTGCTTAAAATGACCGAACAGAATCGGGGGGTTAAAACAAACAAAATGGCAGCAGCTGGAATGTGAACAAATCCATCCACATGAGATCTTTGCACTTTGTGTAAAAAAACGATGAAACGCGCCATGGCATTTGAAAAATAAAAATAACGCCAATAAAGATTACATATCTGTGAGACTTTTTTGTAGCTGGAATTCAAATCAAGCTTTGTGTGCATCTTCTTACCTTATTTACACGAGATGTTTTGGATTGCACACAAATCCTTTATGGAATCCTTCCTGTTGTTCCCGTGTATTTCAGAAGCAGACTCTGCGTGAGGAACAGATGCATGCGATTAGCAAGAACACCAGCGCTGCATTCAGACGGAAACGTCCATGTGCTGATTACTGTAATATCTACACTGTTTCCTTGAATTCGGGGGTGCAGAAATTGCAGATATGACCATATTATTGACACTGTAATGGAGCAGCTCACGCGCCCTCTGGTGATGCACATGCACAGTCATGCAGATGTTGCACACAACGGAATCATATCTGAAGAATATTTTCGATGCTTCCCGAAAATTCAATGAAAGAATTAGTGAAATGTCAGACGACAATGTTGTAATCTAGCTGGAACTTAGCAATAAAGAGCATCATGGACTGTTTTTTCCCTGTAATTGAATATTGGATTCCCTTACACAATAATGAAATCCAATTATGCATCTATGCATACAAAAGCCAACTTGATAATCTTTTAATTATTGTTGAGGAATATATGCATGCGAAAGCCACAGGTTGCAGGTTCAGAATACAGTAGTGGCCTAAAGCACCATCAAACCAGTGCAAATGTAACTGAAATTTACTATCAAACAACTGGTTACTATCATCAGAAACATTGGTTGCAATACACATGTATAGGATTCCAGCTAGTAAGTTGATAAAAAACAAACCTCCAGTCCTAGGTATTTTTTTAAAGTGAAATCTTTTAACTTGTTCATTTCTTTTTAAAGTTTTATGGTATTTAGACTTAACTTACCTCTAAAATTACACCATTAATTTTCAAATAAAATTAAATAATTGTTTTGATCTGCAGTAAAAACATATGCTCCATTAAACTGCCATATTGTGTATTTGAAAACACCTGCTGAAAAAACTGACAGGAACATAACCAGTAGGTGGCTTCAGTGATGCATGTTGCCTGTTCTCTGGGGCCAAATGTTCTCACAAACTCCATTTCTAGACACAAGTTTTGAATTTGGATATATACTTACGATATACTTAGAAACTACTACTCTTGAATTTATCATGTTTATATTCACTTGTTTTGAAGTGTCAGTTTCTGCAGTGATGCCACAAACAGTTACAAAATAGTGATACAATGAATGAAAAGACGTAGAGTGCACACTATTTTGTCATATTATTATTTATTTAAAACATCAAGCATCAACATTCAGTTACTCTAATGAAGCAAACTAATAGAAATCTCAAGAAAACAGGATTAATAATCAGAAGATTAGCAAAAACATACTAAAGAGAATAGCAAGAAAATAATTTGTCATAAAGACTGAGTAAAAAAACAGCACATAAGCAGTGACAAATCCTGTTTAAACCTTCTTTCGCTTGTTGCATGGGTAGCAGTAAGAAGTTATAACAGCGTGAGACCTGCAAATGTACATGTTACACTTACTGCACGTCATGTTGGTTTTTTTGCCCAACTTGGATTCACAGACCTGACATCTTTTCCTCTTAGAGGGGGTTGAGGCTGGCGAGGGGCCAGTTTCTTTGACTTCAACAGTGCAGGCACGTGCTTCCATCACTTTATGGTACGGAACCTCTTTGGGGGAGGCTTCATTTTCTGAAGAGCCTGCTTGTGCTTCCTTTACCATATTCTGAGAGGCTAGCGAGCGGGGAATGGTTTGCCGTCTTGTCATGAAGGGAGTCACCAGAGCTTCCCCTAGCTCTTCCAGAAAGAGTCTCCTTTTGAAGCACTTCTGTTTGTTCCACATAGGATTTATTTCGGTCCAGAGCACAAGTGAATTGTAGGCGGAGACATCCAACATGTTAAAGAAAACAACCATTGGCCAACGATTTATCTTTCTTTGGCAGGTGTATGTGGCAACTAGCTGGAAGTTAAATGACAAGCAGAAAACATAAAAGCTTTAGTCATCAGCTGACAATTCAGGTCACTTCATACTCATTTGCCATAAAAGTCGTGATAAGATGGTAGTAAGAGATCTTTTCAACTCTATTGTGTACATCCAGGTCTAACAGAATTTTGAAAAAGAAAACATATGCACTGATGAATTGTTCACAATAAGATCTATAATATGCATTTAGAAAATAGATAGGGTTGATTTTTACTTCATGCCAATAACGTATAAATAATGCAAAGTAGTAAAATACCTTGTCAAGGTTGTCAACTCCACCTTTGGTCTTGTTGTAGTCTAGGATTATTTCTGGCTTCTTGTGGTCTTTGTTGCTTATTGCGGCATCTCTATGTAATGTGCTCATCAAAAGCACGTTTTTATTTTTTCTGGGACAGTAGGACACAAGAGCGTGTGTCTCGGTGAAGGCGAACATGGACGAGAATCGGGCCCTGCCTTTGACTGACAGGAGTGCAGGCGGGAGCTCAGGCTTGTTTGATCTGACTGTTCCGATCATGGTCATTTTTCTTCGGAGCAGCTCCTCGCCGAGGGCATACGAGGTGAAAAAGTTGTCACATGTAATGGTGTGTCCCTGGAGACCGGATGTCATGTCCAAGACCACACGCATTCCCTGGTTCTTTTCTGGCTTTCTGTCGGCAGCTTTGCCTGTGTAGATCTGCATGTTCCATGCGTAGCTCGAGCTGGAATCGCACGCCGCCCAGATTTTAATTCCATACTTGCTCGGTTTACTCGGCATGTATTGTTTGAAGGGACAGCGACCTCTGAAAGGGACCAGGCACTCGTCTACAGTGATGCTCGGGCCTGGATTGTACAAGAGCGGCAGGCGTTGGACCCATTTTTCCCAGATGTCCCTTACTGGTGCCAGCTTGTCATCTTTCTGTCGGCCAGGCCCTGCAACCCTTCTATAAAAGCAGAAGATCCTTGACATAATGGTAAAAGTATTCAAAGACATGGTAGCACGAAAAATTGCCCTTCCCGACACACCGTTCCATAAGCTACTCAAAGCCTCATGGTGGGATCGATACACGCCCGCCAGAATCAACAGACCGAAATAGGCCTGTATGTCCGTCCAGTCCAGGTTCTTCCAGGCTTTACCAAACACTCGTTTCCCCTCTAAATTGGACATTTCAATCAAAATCTTTTTAATGTCATCTGGGAAAAACAATTCAAATGTTGATATTATGTCTTTGGCATTGGAACATGCAAACCTGGTTGGTCCAGGGGTCATTTTGATGACACGATGAGATGGTAATCTCCCTCGTCTCTCTGAAGGAGTTGTTGAAGTCCACAATATGTTCCAGTTTTTGGACTGGTAAGCGGCCTCCACATCAGGAGGATCCTCTTCCTCTTCCTCATCAGTAGAGTGGTAGTCTGGGTCGAATTCTGTATTGTCCTCTGTTTCAGAAGCTTGATCGAAGAGCTCCTCCTCTGGCTCAGCTTCTCCTTCCAGATATCTTTCCTCTTCCATCCATCCATCACTTGAATGTAGGGTCGCATCACTTTCCTCTTCCATCCATCCCTCACTTAAATGTAGGGTCGCATCACTTTCTTCTTCTATACATCCATCACTTGTATGTAGGGTTGCACATTTTTCTTCTTCTATGCATCCATCACTTGTATGTAGGGTTGCATGTCTTTCCTCTTCTCTGGATTCAAATAAACGAACCAGGGACTCCACAACACTAAACCGTCTCTTCATTATGCAGCTACAGATTGAACTGCAAGCAAGGTCCAAGGGAAGCCACATTTATAATTTAATTTGTAATACTTGTTAGGATCAAATGTGTTCTAATACTAAAACAGTGAAACATGTTGAAAAACACTTTGGAAGAACAATTTGGTGTCTTTACTATTAAAATTAAAAGATGACACTTTTCTTTAAAGCTAGTGATGGTTTGTGTGTTTAGGGATAAGGATAAGAGATGTCATTAGCCAGCTATGAAAACAATTGAGGCCTTTGAAATGTCCTCACTTAAGTAGTCAAATTAACTTTTTTTATTTGATTCTAATAAAGTGGATGGTTTTAAAATACTGCTGCTTTTACATAAAGAAAGATTAATGAACAAGTAATTATTAACAACAATTAAATTTAAACTAAATCTCTATCTTTTCTATCAATTTCAGTTTAATTACGGTTAAATCATATTCTATACAGATGTCACTGTTAGAGTGCAAGGAGTGTTCATGCATAATTAATAAAAAAAAAAATAGACAAAGTTTGTCAAGAAAATGTTTGATGTTGGCTTGAAAAAGCCTAGTCAGAAAGTTTGAAGTAGTTTTAAAAGCATGATGTTTAAAGGTTTTTAAAGTAGTATGTTATCCGGGTACTTCAACACTACTCTTTTGGCGTACTATTGCATTCAATTTTGGGACGCAGTGACAACGTCATGATTGTTCTAACCCAATGAGCGATAAGCTGTGTCGTCAACGAGTCGATTACCTTCGCAATGACACGGGACACTGGTTAAAATAGCTGATTTCTCTGGATTTAAACATTGTTGGAAATATTTGGGATAATGTAAAGTACATAAATCATCAACATATTGTTCTAGTTGTTTTTGGAAAAATTTTTCAAATAATTTTAAAATGTTGTGCCTTTAAATGATTTAACTCATTGCATGGTCTCTAAATTAACTTAGCTATTTGTTGCATTTTGTGAATCCATGGTTTTATTGTTGTGTGTGGCTATACGTTTTATTAGTATTCCTTTGGCAACATTCTAAAGCCATGACAGTAAAGCTAATCTGAATTAAAATGCTGAATATTTATTTTTTGACAAAATATGAAAAAGCTCTGTACCCATTCATTATTTGTGTTCTTAGTTGAATGCGGTTAAAACATAAAACAAAATGGCAGCAGCTGGAATGTGAAAAGAAAGATCAATCCATACACATGATATCTTTGCACCTAAGCAAATCAAATGGATATTTTTCTTTGTATGTGTAAAATAATACGATGAAACGCATCAATACATTTTAAAAGTCGCCTAGTAAACAATAAACATCTGTGAGGCTTTTATGGCTTTAATTCAAATCAAGCTTTGTATGCATCTTCTTACCTTATCTACACGAGATATTTTGGATTGCACACAAATCCTTTATGGAATCCTTCCTGTTATTCCCGTGTATTTCAGAAGCAGACTCTGCGTGAGGAACAGATGCATGCGATTAGCAAGAACACCAGCGCTGCATTCAGACGGAAACGTCCATGTGCTGATTACTGTAATATCTACACTGTTTCCTTGAATTCGGGGGTGCAGAAATTGCAGATATGACCATATTATTGACACTGTAATGGAGCAGCTCACGCGCCCTCTGGTGATGCACATGCACAGTCATGCAGATGTTGCACACAACGGAATCATATCTGAAGAATATTTTCGATGCTTCCCGAATATTCAATGAAAGAATTAGTGAAATTTCAGACCATGTTGTAATCTAGCTGGAACTTAGCAATAAAGAGCATCATGGACTGTTTCCCCCCCCGAAATTGGGGGTTTAATACTGAATTCCCTTATACAATAATAATGAAAACAATTATGCATCTATGCATGCAAATAACTACCGGTACTTGATAATCTTTTAATTTTTGTTGAGGAATATATCTGCATGCGAAAGCCACAGGTTGCAGGTTCAGAATACAGTAGTGGCCTAAAGTCAAACCAGTGCAAACCAGTGCAAATGTAACTGAAGTTTACTATCAAACAACTGGAAACATTGGTTGCAATACACATGTATAGGATTCCAGCTAGTAAGTCAATAAAAAACAAACATCCAGTCCTAGGTATTTTTTTTTTAAAAAGTGAAATCTTTTAACTTGTTCCTTTCTTTTGAAAGTTCTATGGTATTTAGACTTAACTTACCTCTAAAATTACACCATTAATTTTTAAATAAAATTAAATAAATATTTTGATCTGCAGTAAAAACATATGCTCCATTAAACTGCCATATTGTGTATTTGAAAACACCTGCTGAAAAAACTGACAGCAACATAACCAGTAGGTGGCTTCAGTGATGCATGTTGCCAGTTCTCTGGGGCCAAATGTTCTCACAAACTCCATTTCTAGACACAACTTTTGAATTTGGATATATACTTACGATATACTTAGAAACTACTACTCTTGAATTTATCATGTTTATATTCACTTGTTTTGAAGTGTCAGTTTCTGCAGTGATGCCAAAAACAGTTACAAAATAGTGATACAATGAATGAAAAGACGTAGAGTGCACACTATTTTGTCATATTATTATTTATTTAAAATATCAAGCATCAACATTCAGTTACTCTAATGAAGCAAACTAAAAGAAATCTCAAGAAAACAGGATTAATAATCAGAAGATTAGCAAAAACATACTAAAGAGAATAGCAAGAAAATAATTTGTCATAAAGACTGAGTAAAAAAACAGCACATAAGCAGTGACAAATCCTGTTTAAACCTTCTTTCGCTTGTTGCATGGGTAGCAGTAAGAAGTTATAACAGCGTGAGACCTGCAAATGTACATGTTACACTTACTGCACGTCATGTTGGTTTTTTTGCCCAACTTGGATTCACAGACCTGACATCTTTTCCTCTTAGAGGGGGTTGAGGCTGGCGAGGGGCCAGTTTCTTTGACTTCAACAGTGCAGGCACGTGCTTCCATCACTTTATGGTACGGAACCTCTTTGGGGGAGGCTTCATTTTCTGAAGAGCCTGCTTGTGCTTCCTTTACCATATTCTGAGAGGCTAGCGAGCGGGGAATGCCTTGACGTCTTTTCATGAAGGGAATCACCAGAGCTTCCCCTAGCTCTTCCAGAAAGAGTCTCCTTTTGAAGCACTTCTGTTTGTTCCACATAGGATCTATTTCGGTCCAGAGCACAAGTGAATTGGAGGCGGAGACATCCAACATGTTAAAGAAAACAACCATTGGCCAACGATTTATCTTTCTTTGGCAGGTGTATGTGGCAACTAGCTGGAAGTTAAATGACAAGCAAAAAACATAAAAGCTTTAGTCATCAGCTGACAATTCAGGTCACTTCATACTCATTTGCCATAAAAGTCGTGATAACATGCTAGTAAGAGATCTTTTCAACTCTATTGTGTACATCCAGGTCTAACAGAATTTTGAAAAAGAAAACATATGCACTGATGAATTGTTCACAATAAGATCTACAATATGCATTTAGAAAATAGATAGGGTTGATTTTTATTTCATGCCAATAACGTATAAATAATGCAAAGTAGTAAAATACCTTGTCAAGGTTGTCAACTCCACCTTTGGTCTTGTTGTAGTCTAGGATTATTTCCGGCTTCTTGTGGTCTTTGTTGCTTATTGCGGCATCTCTATGTAATGTGCTCATCAAAAGCACGTTTTTATTTTTTCTAGGACAGTAGGACACAAGAGCGTGTGTCTCGGTGAAGGCGAACATGGACGAGAATCGGGCCCTGCCTTTGACTGACAGGAGTGCAGGCGGGAGCTCAGGCTTGTTTGATCTGACTGTTCCGATCATGGTCATTTTTCTTCGGAGCAGCTCCTCGCCGAGGGCATACGAGGTGAAAAAGTTGTCACATGTAATGGTGTGTCCCTGGAGACCGGATGTCATGTCCAAGACCACACGCATTCCCTGGTTCTTTTCTGGCTTTCTGTCGGCAGCTTTGCCTGTGTAGATCTGCATGTTCCATGCGTAGCTCGAGCTGGAATCGCACGCCGCCCAGATTTTAATTCCATACTTGCTCGGTTTACTCGGCATGTATTGTTTGAAGGGACAGCGACCTCTGAAAGGGACCAGGCACTCGTCTACAGTGATGCTCGGGCCTGGATTGTACAAGAGCGGCAGGCGTTGGACCCATTTTTCCCAGATGTCCCTTACTGGTGCCAGCTTGTCATCTTTCTGTCGGCCAGGCCCTGCAACCCTTCTAGAAAAGCATAAAATCCTTGACATAATGGTAAAAGTATTCAAAGACATGGTAGCACGAAAAATTGCCCTTCCCGACACACCGTTCCATAAGCTACTCAAAGCCTCATGGTGGGATCGATACACGCCCGCCAGAATCAACAGACCGAAATAGGCCTGTATGTCCGTCCAGTCCAGGTTCTTCCAGGCTTTACCAAACACTCGTTTCCCCTCTAAATTGGACATTTCAATCAAAATCTTTTTAATGTCATCTGGGAAAAACAATTCAAATGTTGATATTATGTCTTTGGCATTGGAACATGCAAACCTGGTTGGTCCAGGGGTCATTTTGATGACACGATGAGATGGTAATCTCCCTCGTCTCTCTGAAGGAGTTGTTGAAGTCCACAATATGTTCCCATTTTTGGACTGGTAAGCGGCCTCCACATCAGGAGGATCCTCTTCCTCTTCCTCATCAGTAGAGTGGTAGTCTGGGTCGGATTCTGTATTGTCCTCTGTTTCAGAAGCTTGATCGAAGAGCTCCTCCTCTGGCTCAACTTCTCCATCCAGTAATCTTTCCTCTTCCATCCATCCATCACTTGAAATTAGGGTTGCATCACTTTCTTCTTCCATGCATCCATCACTTGAATGTAGGGTCGCGTCTCTTTCTTCTTCTATACATCCATCACTTGAATGTAGGGTCGCATCACTTTCCTCTTCCATGCATCCATCACTAGTATGTAGGGTTGCACATTTTTCTTCTTCTATGCATCCATCACTTGTATGTAGGGTTGCATGTCTTTCCTCTTCTCTGGATTCAAATAAACGAACCAGGGACTCCACAACACTAAACCGTCTCTTCATTATGCAGCTACAGATTGAACTGCAAGCAAGGTCCAAGGGAAGCCACATTTATAATTTAATTTGTAATACTTGTTAGGATCAAATGTGTTCTAATACTAAAACAGTGAAACATGTTGAAAAACACTTTGGAAGAACAATTTGGTGTCTTTTTTTATTAAAATTAAAAGATGACACTTTTCTTTAAAGCTAGTGATAGTTTGTGTGTTTAGGGATAAGGATAAGAGATGTCATTAGCCAGCTATGAAAACAATTGAGGCCTTTGAAATGTCCTCACTTAAGTAGTCAAATTAACTTTTTTTATTTGATTCTAATAAAGTGGATGGTTTTAAAATACTGCTGCTTTTACATAAAGAATGATTAATGAACAAGTAATTATTAACAACAATTAAATTTAAACTAAATCTGTATCTTTTCTATCAATTTCAGTTTAATTACAGTAATATGGTTACAGTCATATTCTATACAGATGTCACTGTTAGAGTGCAAGGAGTGTTCATGCATAATTAATCAATTAAACTAGATAAAGTTTGTCAAGAAAATGTTTTATGTTAGCTTGAAAAAGCCTAGTCAGAAAGTTTGAAGTAGTTTTAAAAGCATGATGTTTAAAGGTTTTTAAAGTAGTATGTTATCCGGGTACTTCAACACTACTCTTTTGGCGTACTATTGCATTCAATTTTGGACGCAGAGACAACGTCATGATTGTTCTAACCCAATGAGCGATAAGCTGTGTCGTCAACGAGTCGATTACCTTCGCAATGACACGGGACACTGGTTAAAATAGCTGATTTCTCTGGATTTAAACATTTTTGGAAATATTTGGGATAATGTAAAGTAGCCTACATAAATCATCAACATATTGTTCTAGTTGTTTTTGGATATTTTAATCAAATAATTTAAAAATGTTGTGCCTTTAAATGATTTAACTCATTGCATGGTCTCTAAATCAATTTAGCTATTTGTTGCATTTTGTGAATCCATGGTTTTATTGTTGTGTGTGGCTATACGTTTTATTAGTATTCCTTTGGCAACATTCTAAAGCCATGACAGTAAACAGTAAAGCTAATCTGAATTAAAATGTTGAACATTTATTTTTTTTGACAAAATATGAAAAAAGCTCTGTGCTATAGTGTCGCCCATTCATTTATTTGCATGTGTTGTTCATTGTGGATGCAGGTAAAACATAAAACAAAATGGCAGCAGCTGGAATGTGAAAAGATCAATCCATACACATGATATCTTTGCACGGTGCATATAAAATGGATATTCTTCTTTGTGTATGTAAAATAATACGATGAAACGCATCAATACATTTGAAAAGTCGCCTAGTAAACAATAAACAGATCTGTGAGGCTTGTATGGCTTTAAAGGGATACTCCACCCAAAAATGAAAATTCTGTCATCATCATACTCACCCTCAAGTTGTCGCAAACCTGTATGATTTTCTTTCTTCTGCTGAACACAAAGGAAGATATTTTGAAGAACGATTGGTACCAAACAGATGTGGGGCACCATTGACTTCAGTATTTTTTTTTTCTACTATGGAAGTCAATGATGCCAAAGAACTGTTTGGTTTCAATCGTTCTTCAAAATATCTTCACTTGTGTTCAGCAGAAGAAAGAAACTCATACAGGTTTGCAACAACATGAGGGTGAGTAAATGATGACAGAATTTTCATTTTTGGGTGGAGTATCCCTTTAATTCAAATCAAGCTTTGTGTACATCTTACCTTATCTACACGAGATGTTTTGGATTGCACACAAATCCTTTACGGAATCCTTCCTGTTATTCCCGTGTATTTCAGAAGCACTCTTAAAATCGGGGTGTTAATATTGGATTCCCTTACACACTAAAAATAAAAACACCAGGCGCGCATCTATGCATGCAAATAACTACTTGATAATGTTTTAATTATTGTCGAGGAATATATCTGCATGCTTTGCGAATTTTACAGGTTCAGAATACAATAGGAGTGGTCTAAAAATGAGGTAATAATGTGGCGATCAGGGTTGCCAGGTCTGCGTAACACAACCAGGCCAATTTCTATTAAAAGAGCAACCCACGGAAACAGTGTGCACTGTAAAGGGAATCCCACTTGGCAACACTGATGGTGATAGCGCCATATGACCAATGCAAGTCCAGAGAGGTGGAGCTTAGACGTCATTTGACTCTGCAGTGAGCAGCTCTTGTTAAAGACCCACTAAAAAAGTGCCCTGAAACGCAGCATTATTAATGTGTTGACTCCACTGAAACAAGAAGACAGGGCGGGACATGTCGAGCAACTCCTCCCCTTTTAAAAAAATAGCCAATAACGTTTCGTTTATGTCACAGCATGACCAGAGCCATTGAGCTCGTTAAAGACGCAGTTTCCTAATCTCTAACCATTTCTCCTCCATATCGCTTTAAAATATAGCATTCTGTGTAGAGTTCAAATGGGTCCGATAAATTTTTTGGTCTGCCCCGACTCGAACATGATCCACTTTGTGCTTTCGTATCTCTGGACTAGAGCAGACTGTGCGCGCTGCAGCGGTTTGCGTAACACATACCGTGAAACCAGACTTCATTCGCCCCAATGGAAAGCATATTACACTGCCTGAATCATTCCCTATCCCCTATACACTCACCTAAAGGATTATTAGGAACACCATACTAATACTGTGTTTGACCCCCTTTCACCTTCAGAACTGCCTTAATTCTACGTGGCATTGATTCAACAAGGTGCTGAAAGCATTCTTTAGAAATGTTGGCCCATATTGATAGGATTTGCATCTTGCAGTTGATGGAGATTTGTGGGATGCACATCCAGGGCACGAAGCTCCCGTTCCACCACATCCCAAAAATGCTCTATTGGGTTGAGATCTGGTGACTGTGGGGGCCATTTTAGTACAGTGAACTCATTGTCATGTTCAAGAAACCAATTTGAAATGATTCGAGCTTTGTGACATGGTGCATTATCCTGCTGGAAGTAGCCATCAGAGGATGGGTACATGGTGGCCATAAAGGGATGGACATGGTCAGAAACAATGCTCAGGTAGGCCGTGGCATTTAAACAATGCCCAATTGGCACTAAGGGGCCTAAAGTGTGCCAAGAAAACATCCCCCACACCATTAAACCACCACCACCACCAGCCTGCACAGTGGTAACAAGGCATGATGGATCCATGTTCTCATTCTGTTTACGCCAAATTCTGACTCTACCATCTGAATGTCTCAACAGAAATCGAGACTCATCAGACCAGGCAACATTTTTCCAGTCTTCAACTGCCCAATTTTGGTGAGCTCTTGCAAATTGTAGCCTCTTTTTCCTATTTGTAGTGGAGATGAGTGGTACCCGGTGGGGTCTTCTGCTGTTGTAGCTCATCCGCCTCATAGTTGTGCGTGTTGTGGCTTCACAAATGCTTTGCTGCATACCTCGGTTGTAACGAGTGGTTATTTCAGTCAAAGTGGCTCTTCTATCAGCTTGAATCAGTCGGCCCATTCTCCTCTGACCTCTAGCATCAACACGGCATTTTCGCCCACAGGACTGCCGCATACTGGATGTTTTCCCCTTTTCACACCATTCTTTGTAAACCCTAGAAATGGTTGTGCGTGAAAATCCCAGTAACTGAGCAGATTGTGAAATACTCAGACCAGCCCGTCTGGCACCAACAACCATGCCACGCTCAAAATTGCTTAAATCACCTTTCTTTCCCATTTTGACATTCAGTTTGGAGTTCAGGAGATTGTCTTGACCAGGACCACACCCCTAAATGCATTGAAGCAACTGCCATGTGATTGGTTGATTAGATAATTGCATTAATGAGAAATTGAACAGGTGTTCCTAATAATCCTTTAGGTGAGTGTATTGTATATGTGCCATTCACCAAGTTGAAAATAATACAAGTGTAAACAAATGACTGATTTCAGCCCTAGCTTTAGCGTCTATTTATAATGTAGAGGGCGGAACTTTTTAGATTCTAGAGAGCATTTGATTGGACAGAAAATCTGATGAGAAACTGAAGTGTAGTACAGCGATGGCATCAAAATCTTTGATCCATATATTGGCAGAAGTGAGGCACTGTTTTGAATTCTTATATAGTTTAAAATATTGTCTTTGTTTTGGAGCACACTAGCTAATAGATAACAGTAGGACTAACATATTCATACTAAAATTATAGACTTTAAGATTATCAATCAACTGGTTACTATCTGGTATCAATTTACCAGCTATTTAATTATTATTTTTCGTTTTTGCACTCTTTAAAGGTCATTATTGTGTACTCTCTTGTGTCAGAATAGCAAAAAGGTGACATGTAATACAAATCTTTATTGGAAATGCAGAAATTTAAGTGGAAAATAATAACGGAACAAGTCAAAAAAGGTTAAATTTTATGTTCATGTTTTTTGTTAACATTTTTTGTTAACATTCCGATTCGACCACTAGTGGCCGCCACAGACCACTGAGTCTGACACATTTTGGCCACATTCATTCACTATAATTAAAAAAACAAATTACTGTTTTCTCCCCTTAAATTGTTTCTGAAACAATATCACACAATTCTGACTCAAAGCTTTTCATTTTCATCGTAGGTCAACACATTTTTCTGTTTCTCTCCAGCAAGACATTTCAAATGTTTTAAAATCAAACATATTCTGCTACAAAAATCCTCATGCATCTATCCATAAATCCATTTTCCACACTTTTTCTGATAAGGCTCATTTTAATTGGTCTATATCCCGTTAATTTACATTATATGGATGTGTCAAAAGTCACTGTAAAGTGTTTGGGTGCAGCTTTGTGTTGAATTGCCTCACCCATCATCATCATCCCTAGTGTGAGATCATCATCCAGACAAACAAGAAATCCCTTTATTTCCCTTATCACGGAGGCATGCTTGACATTAAAACGGTTCAGGTAAGATAATATGATTACTTTATTCTCTCTAAATCTCACTGTATTGAGCTCATGTGTGTTGCATTTAGAGGATTAGCTCCTCTGGCTAATGTCGGCTAGCAGACAGTTTGTTATGATGAGAACTCGCAGCCACGTAGAAACACAAATATAACGTTACTGAATTTGAGACTAAAAACAGACTTTCATATATTTGTTTAGAAGGATATTATGTGAAATTATTGGATAGTTTTTATTTATTGTTTTGACAGTTATCGTTGGCTAGTTGTCGTTAGCTCGCTTGAATAATAAACAATAACAATCATATTTTGTTCTTTTAACAATCCAGTCCAAATTGATCGAAATCACTGATTGCATTAAGTGGCAAACATTATTATTATTTCAAATATTTAGTTAACAACCAGAAGCAAAAGTATAGATAACTTTATTTAACTCATCCTTAAACTAAAATAAATAACCAGTGGTTTATTATTCAATAATAGAGTAAACAATTGTGCTATGATTTTTGTCACTTAAAGTGCTGGGGTATTACCATGGTTGAGTGATTTTCAGTGGGTAATACCATGGTATACAGTACACAAATACATCATGGTACTGTCAATGTAGTACCATGGTACTTTTTTTTTTAGGTATCTTTGTTACCGTTAAGTTTTATTATGTGTCATCATAGACTGTCATTATGTGGATTAGCGTAACTATAAATGATTTTGTACTCAGGATTAACTGTCATTAACCGACACAAATAGCCATGGTTACCATGGTAACAACAGTTCCCACCAAAGTACCATAGTTAGTTATTTGATTATTGTTAATAATATAAAATCATACGAATAATATATTTATTTTCCCTCCAACAGTCACCAAAAAAGTACCTTAGTAATGCCATGTATTCCACTTTGATGATAATGGTTTTTACCATGTCATGTATTAAAGTTGGCATGAAACAGAAGTTGATCTAGTCTTTTCTTCCCTATAAGAGTGCATTAGTGCCCGTCCCTTTTTCAGCGGCGCTGGTTCCGGAAGTATTTTCTCCATTCATTTTCCCATAGAGAGTCTTTGTTGAAGGGTTATAAGCCATGATGAAACAAGCCAATCAGCTAAGAGGTGAATCATAAAATTGAAGCAAAAACGTATAATATTGGACAAAAATAAGTTTTAGTGAGGGAAAGAACTACAATCCCATGAAGCATTGCGAACAGCATAATCAAATTAAAAACGATGGAGAAATATAAAGGCTTGTTCGACTTGAACCGGCGCTGCACAGACCGATCGGTTTATGACATCAAAGTACCGGGAGAGCGATTCAAAAGCATACGGTGACGTCTGCTGACTCTGCTCTCTAATCGCTCTTGCGGTATGTTGTACAGCATCATGGGTAATGTAGTTTTTTCACCAAGAATTGTGCTGTTAAAAACGATTATTTCAAAAATATGATGTATTAACGCGGGCTGACGGCTTCAGCAGAAGCAAATACCATAGATTAACAACCTCGTACCTCACAGTAGGCTTGTTTTTAAAGGTTTTCTGGTGACGTATGCAGGACTTCTCCAATCATTTAGTCTGCTTAAATTTTAGCCAATAATTTAGTCTGCTTCAACCCCTCCCCTGCATGCTCATGGAAGAGTACAACACCCACAAATCCAATAAACAACTAATTAATAAAACCAATTCCCACCTTTTTCCTTTTTTGATAATCTGTTACACTTGTTGCTATTTCTGTTTCATCACGACTAAGGTGGACACAGGTACTTTTTGAGTTTTTAGGGGTTTATCATCACACAATTAAACACAAATCGCATGCTTTACTTATATTAACATTTCTTCTGTCAGGGAATCCTATCTGGTCAAGGAGGGTTGACGTTTTTCCAGGCCCTGCAGGAATAGCACATGTGTGCATAAAGCAGGGAAAATGAGTACGGGGAAGCCAAGTGGTCTCAAACCACCCACCAAGATTGGTAAACCAGCTTCGGCGCCAACCAAAACTTCGCCCACGTCAGGTGAGTAACCTATGGGTTACATATTAAATGCACTGATTCAGACATGACGTGCCTTTATTTTTGCTGACTTCAGCTGGTGCCAAGGCTGTAACATCTCCGACCTCCAATAGCGGCCAAGATGCGCCGTCAGATTTCTCTGTTGGCGAACGTGTTTGGGTCAACGGAAATAAGCCCGGTTCTGTGCAGTTCATCGGAGGGACTCAGTTTGCACCGGGCCAGTGGGCAGGAATAGTTCTAGACGAGCCCATCGGGAAGAACGATGGCTCTGTGTCTGGAGTGCGCTACTTCCAGTGTGTGGACTTGCGAGGCATATTTACTCGGCCCTCCAAACTCTCTCGTACTCCCGTGGCAGAGCGCAAGACCAATGGCACGCAGACTCCCGCCAACAAGGCCTCTGCCTCCCCTGCCAAAGATCCTGCTCCTGTCACTCAGACCATTAGTGCAACCACCAAGTCCTCATCAAACCTTACCAGGGCCACCAGCGAGTCTGCATCCAATATGTCTGAGACGGATTCGGCCAAGAAGTTACAGCGGGACATGAAGCTGGGTGATCGTGTGCTGGTAAGGCCCATATCTGGTCTGTCTTCACACTTAAGTGGCTCCTTGAGGGAAGTTTGAGGGAATGTTTTGCTTCCCTTCCTTAGGTTGCAGGATCCAAGGCAGGTGTTGTGCGTTTCCTGGGCGAAACTGACTTCGCGAAAGGTGAATGGTGTGGCGTTGAGCTGGACGAGCCTCTTGGCAAGAATGATGGGGCAGTAGCTGGTGCAAGGTAAGTCCACAATTTGTCAAAATTACACAAGAGAACAACCCGTGAGAACAGGACCTTCTGTTTTAAAACACATTTATAAAACAGATCTTTAAGGTCTTTGCTTATCTGGCTGAATCTTAGCACATTCCTGAAAACTAGAGTTTTGAGACATTGTTGAGAAGCCATAGAAAAGGCATGTGAGATTTTTTTTTTTTTTTTTTTAACTGTACAGTATGTCAAATAGCTTCACTTTTCATGTTCAGTTCCCAATGGAGCACCCGGAGTGGCAAAAGAGCCTGCTGCATGACTGGATCTAATTGAAAACGGTGAAAATGCGAGTAAAACAAACGATTAATCAGTTTAACTAAAGGATGGACTCAATTGACCTATGGCTAAGCCACGCCCCCTCCACTCACTCGGACAAACAGTCAACATTCGGTGACAGACGCTGTCACAGTAGGAGACATTTCACAGGAGGCAATTGATGATTTTTGGAGACAGAAAGATTATATATCATCTCGAAGTCACCAAAAGGGCCTTAACTATTCATTGGAGGGTTATATGAATAATTTTATTGTTGAGAAGGTCGATGAAAAGCTTCAGCTCCAGGCAAAAATGTACAGGTCACAGTGTAAACGTGATAAACCGCATCTCGTTGTCATCACCAGGATCAGCAGTGTTCATGCACTGCAGTATTTACATGAATCTTTATATGAACATTTGTTATCTCGGTTATTTAAAGATACGTTAATGAAGCTAAGTGACATGATGTACAACGCAGCTAGAAGCTAACGTCAACGTTTTCTAATGTTAGGCTAACGTTAGCCTAACGTTACGTTAGAGATGTTAAAGATAACGTTCAAATACGTTGTTGACTTAGAACAGATGTAGACATCCTTGTTTAATTCTTGTTTAATTTATCCACGTTGAGTTGGTGTTGTGGTCTACCGCATAACTTTATCCAGAGCAGATACTTATCTCGGTTGAGATGTGACTTGGGAAAGGGTAAAAAATACACACCGTCGCCCTGCCTCTCGGGATACCTAGTGTCGGAGTTGCATGTACCCCATGCACACCGTTTGATCATTTTAAACTTAAAATGACAAGAAAAAAACATAAAAATGAATGAAAATTGCAGAATTTTTGCAAATTGTGAATTGCAGCGATCCATTTGCTTCTCTTTTCTGTAGCTTTTGGCAGTCTGTTAAAATATACTTATTTCTTACTTATTATAAATCTACTAAAATATAGATTTCTTGTCAAATCTATTTATACAGTCAATCTCAAAGCTTTTTCCTGTTTTAGATGTGTTTTGTGTGTTTTTCGCGGCATTCTCGCTGAAAACCAATGCAGCCACTCAGTCTTTTTGCCACTCAGTGGGCGTAACCGCAGTCACTCCAGACAGTGATGTCACATGCATACCCTCTATAATAAAAATGTCCTGTTTCGCTCTGAAATATTACATTACAGAAGTAAAACGAGTTGGTAATGATGTCATGTTAGTTTTAACCCTCTGGGGACCAAGGGTTTTTTGAGGCCCTTGGGATGTTTTGACATGCACTGACATTTGTGCTTTTTTCAGTTATTTATAAACATGTTAATGGCAAAGGTGTAAATTCACTCTATATAGCACAAACGGGGCTACCATAATCTTTGAGCAACATGTATTTACATGTTTGTATTTTTGAGAGAATATTATTTATGCATGGTTATTGAAAAACTTAAAAATAAAAGTTTCTGAAATAAAGCCACAAAACACATATTGATTATTTCTTCACAAGACTTTTGAAAATTGTATCACATAGTCTAGAATATTTGCTCCAAAACTATGTGAGAATCATCCTGACTACTCATTCAGATAAGTCAATAAAGTCTTTTAGAATGTGTATGACGTGTTTAGTGTGAGAAAGCTTTATGCGAGGAGGCGTGATCTCTCATTAATATGTATGGCATTTCACACCTGAGAAAGACAAAGACCCTCCCATAATGGCCCTATTAGGTGCTATCAGGCCCTATCATTAGGAGGAGCCTTGCACAAAGAATGAGGAGATTTAAAAAAGAATGGCTTTTAGATTGTTTGGATTTATTTACAACACAACATAATCCAAAGATACACAACAAAGGACTGGTTTCTGGTTAAAATTGCTTTTTAATTATATATATATACACACACACACACTGCTTAGAATAAGTGAAAACACCCATGCTAAAGTTGACTACAAAGAGGAATAAAAAATCTTAATGCCTTAATTTAAAAAATGAGGAAAACTCCAACCTTTAGGGAAATGAATAATGTCCCTGAATTCTTTGTGAATGAATAATGTATCGCAAATAATTAAATGTTCTTCTTTAAAATACAGGGTGCATACTCTGGACACTTCTATCACACACCCTTCACCATATAGACATGGTTTTATTTCAGTTCAAAGTTAGAGTTGGAAACATCTTGAAAAGAAAATAGTCTTTTTCCATAAATGTCTTAGTTTGATCATACATATTTCAAAGTTGAGGATTCATTATTTTCATATAGCTTGCATTGGAACAAACATCTTAGATGATTAGTTTATTGACAAAACATAAGCTTATTTGATGTCTTTATTTTGAAGCTTATTTTAAGCTTATTTGATGCTTATTTGATTTGAAAAACTTTATCCAAAACTAGTCAAAGAAATGTTATTTTATTTCGTCTGTAAGTGCGTATCTGTGCGTTCATTCATTCACACACACACACACACACACACACACACAGAAACATGATTCACAAAACAGTAGGCTATGCTATTTTTCCGTTTACAGACACTAACGTTATTCTATATCGCGATTAGAACAAAGCACAAAACACTTACACTTCTCAGCTGAATCTGTTGCTCCTCCTCGAAGTGAAACCAGCACTTGTTCTGTGGTAAATGTCCCAGGATTATTCCTCATGTGAAAAAAAAACAGCAAAACGCGCGGGCGCGTTCTTGGTCCCCAGAGGGTTAACCTAAGGTTACTTTAGTTGAACTGTCTTTATGGGAAGTGTACTGTAAGTACAGTGCATATAAAAAGTTTACACGCCCCTGTTAAAAAGTTTTTTTTTGTGATGTAAAAAATGAAACAAAGACAAGTCATATCAAAACTTTTGCATATATTGAATGTAAAATTCACAACCTATGCAATGCCACTGAAAACCAAAGTGACAGTTTTCATAGAAAAAATAAAATCTAAATAAAAATTGGAATAACTAACTGCATAAGTGTGCACACCCTGAACTAATACTAAGATTTTATTACAGCACTCTGTTTGGATATGAGTCTATCAGCTTGGCACATCTTGATTAGAGAATATTTATGTATTTTTATGCTTTACTCTCACAGGTATTTTCAGTGCCTCCCAAAGTATGGACTATTCGCTCCTACGCACAAAGTCACACGCATCGGATTCCCGTCCACCACCACTGCCAAATCCAAAGCCTCCAGGCGCAGGTCGACCCTAAAGAACAGCCCCAGCGCATCTTCCGTCAGCTCCCTCAGCTCTGTCACCTCCTCAGCAGGAGGCAACCCTAGCCGAGCGGGCCTGGTACAGTCCTGCTCCTTTCACTCACAGTATATGTTCTTCTCCATATATTATTCGAAATAATTACCCGTCAATAATCTTTCAGCTCACAGAGACGTCTGCACGGTACGCACGGAAGATCTCAGGCACCACGGCCCTGCAGGAGGCCCTGAAGGAGAAGCAGCAGCACATCGAGCAGCTCCTGGCTGAGCGGGACCTGGAGAGGACGGAAGTGGCACGAGCCACAAGCCATGCTGGAGAGGTGCAGCAAGAGCTGGCACTGCTCAGACAGGGCCAGGAACAGGTGGGCAGTTTTCTGATATTAAACCAGACTCTAAAGGTGATGATACACTGGGCAACTTTTTGAGCAATATTTCTGGGCAATGTTGCTTGGGCTCTTTCCCATTGAGAATGGGCAACATGTTTCTATCTGGATATTTTAGATTGGTCGTGGGCCCTGTGTCTCGCCTGGTTGCCAATGACGGCAACATTGCTCAAAAAGTTGCCCCGTGTATCACCACCTTTAGATGCACACGTGTTGCATGGTGTTCTGAATCTTAAAATTTTGCATGTGTTTTTGAAGTACGCCAACGAGATGGAAGCCAAGTTGGACCAGTTGCGGAGACTTGTGGAGACTGCAGACCGAGATAAAGTGGAGCTGATGAATCAACTGGAAGAGGAAAAAAGGTAATCCTGATCTTTAAAAATACCTTATATATTGCTTGATTATTGCAAAAGAACATGCAAGTTCATGTGAATGTGTTAAGAAACTTTTGAGGGCTTGAAGTGTGCTTTTTATCCCACAGAAAAGTGGAGGACCTGCAGTTCCGTGTAGAAGAAGCTTATATTACCAAAGGTGACCTAGAGGTAAAGTGACCCTATCATATACGTTTACATCGAGAGAAACCGAATATGGCCGGAACCAGCGTAGGCACCTGTCACAGATCAGTCTGTGTTCATGCAGAAATAATCAGTATCGTTTACACTTTTAACAAAACAAATTCACAGGAGATAAGTAGATATCAGAAAAATAAATATTGTTTTCAAGAGATGATAGACTAGATAGATAGATGATTGATTGATAGACTTGATGTTACCACAACTATCTACAGATAGATAGATATATAGATAAACTTGTTGTGACTACACTGATAGATAGATAGATAGATAGATAGATAGATAGATAGATAGATAGATAGATAGATAGATAGATAGATAGATAGATAGATAGATAGATAAACTTCTTGTGACTACAACGATGGATGGATGGATGGATGGATGGATGGATGGATAGATAGATAGATAGATAGATAGACTTGTCTTGACTAAAACTAGATAGATAGATAGATAGATAGATAGATAGATAGATAGATAGATAGATAGATAGATAGATAAACTTCTTGTGACTACAACAATGGATGGATGGATGGATAGATAGACTTGTTGTGACTACAACTATAGATAGATGGATAGATGGATAGATAGATAAACTTGTGACTACAACTATAGATGGATAGATAGATAAACTTGTGACTACAACTATAGATAGATAGATAGATAGATAGATAGATAGATAGATAGATAGATAAACTTATTGTGACTACAACGATGGATGGATGGATGGATAGATAGATAAACTTCTTGTGACTACAACTATAGACAGATGGATGGATGGATGGATGGATGAATAGATAGATAGATAGATAGATAGATAGATAGATAGATAGATAGATAGATAGATAGATAGATAGATAGATAGATAGATAGATTTGATCTCAAGATCAAATGAGGATCATTCATTGACAAGTTCTTCAAAAATCATATTGGAGAAAATGAAAACAGTGCATCACTTTGTGGCTGTTATAGCATTGACTCTTTGATGCTTTATTCACCTTATTCTCTTTATTTGTTCATTCATTCACTCTTTCATCACTGCATTCTTCTCTTTCCATCTTTTATCACTTTCAAACGTTCATTCCTTCATTCATTCTTTTATTATTGACACCCTCCATCTCTCTTTCATCTGCCTGCTCTTTGAGCCTTTCACATTTGTTTCATGTCTTTGTGTTCTTGTTTTTTTTTAAATGCGATCCTCCGTCTTCACGCCGCTCTGTGTGTGTGTGTGTCACTGCTGTCTTTGTCCTCATTCATAGAGAAAGGATGATGTCAAGATCTGCATGAAGCTCTTCGTACTTGGCTTTTGGCTGGCATGTGACCGCGCCGTTGGTGTTGTCTCTCTTTTCCTCTTCTGTCTACTAACAGACGCAGACCAAACTGGAGCATGCCCACATTAAGGAGCTCGAACAGAGTCTTCTGTTTGAAAAGACCAAAGCAGATAAACTCCAGAGGGAGTTAGAGGATACTAGGGTAAATGAATCTGTCAGATGGGAGGGGGAGAGAGATTTCTCTTGGGGTTAAAGTCAGATCCCCATGCACGGAAGAGATTTTGCTTATTTTGGGAAAGCGATTATTTTTTATTCCATGATGGATTGAGGTAGGTCTCTTTTTTGTAAGCACCTCTGGGTGCATCTCTGCAAGCCATTTTTCATCCCAAAGTCAAAAGAAGAAAATAAATGATTTTGTATAAAAATATTTCTAGGTCTTTTTTAGAACCAAACCCCCAAATGTCATTTAAGCACATTTTAACCATAATTCTCAGTAGCCTACTGTTATGTGGGGAAATAAATATCATTTAAATTGCGTTTTTACAAGTATCTTTGTTGGTTTACACTGCTATTCAAAAGTTAGCGGCTTTTCAGAAGTTTAGGATTTTTTTAAGAAAATGCTTATGCTTACCAAGGCTGCATTCGTTTGATCTAAAAACCAGTAATGTTGTGAAATAAAACCTTCTTTTTTCTTTTAATATATTTTAAGATGTAATTTATTCCTGTGATGCAAAGGAATGATATGTTGAAAACAGTTGTGCTGCTTAATATTTTCGTTGAAACCATGATACATTTTTGTCAGGATCCTTTGATGAATAGAAAGTTCAAAAGAACAGGATTTATTTGAAAAATTAATAATAACATTATAAATGTCTTTACTCACTTTTAAATAATTTATTGCATCCTTTCTGAACAAAAGTATTATTTCTTTTAAATAAAAATCGTACTAAACCCAAACTTTTGAATGGTAGTGTATATCATAGTAGAATGTTTTGTGTTACATTTAGTTTGTGATAAAAAAAATAAAAAAAAGTCCTGGCATGTTGATTTTCATTACGCCCATTAAATTCATGAGAAAACAGCAGATGTTTCTTATGTAGAAAGTATGTAGTTTATGTTTAATGCCTTCATAGACCAGTTTGGTCACACTTAGCAGTTGATTAAGTCTTGTCTGCTGCTGTAGGTCGCCACGGTGTCCGAGCGCTCCAGGATCATGGAGCTGGAAAAGGAGGTGTCCGACCTGCAGCTTCAGCTGAGAACTCTTCGAGCCGAGACCTCGGGATCAGCCTCCCCTCCATTACAAGACAAAAAGGTCCGTTCATCTCCCTCCTTAAATCAACCTAAATAAGATGCATTATGACATTTGCTTGTACACCAAAAGACATTTACATCATAAGATCACTGTGTTCTGTGCGTTCTTATAGATCAAGGAGCTGAACTTTGAGTTGGAGAACAGACAGAAGGAGGTGCTTCTGTTCCAGCAGAAACTCTCCTCCTCTGAACAGGAGAAAACATCCCTCCAGCAGCAGCTGCAAGATCTGGTAACACTAAGGCCCCATTTACACTGCATGGTTCAAGTGACCCAAATCCGATTTTTTTTACTCTCATGTGGCACAGATCGGATATGACCCATGAACGTGTAAGCAGGAAAAAAATGCATGGATTCCGATTTTCTCAGACCGGATTCAGGCCTTACTCATATGTGGTAATAAATCGGATATGAATCGGATACGTGCATTTGCGTGTGCCATGTAAGCAGACAAATCGGATATTCCCCAGTAAATGCGTCATTAAAAAAGTGACGTCAACTCAGGTGGACACCACCAACTGAGATCACATGACTTATTATAGGCGCGATGGAGGACGAAGGATACACACAGTGGAGCAATGCGGAGGTTTCATGTCTTTTGAGTGTTTGGGGCGAAGAGACAGTGCAGGCAAAAATGCAGGGTTGTTACAGAAATAAATCCGTGTTTGAAGACATTTCACGAGATATGGGAGGCACGGTGTCCGGCCGGGCTCAGCCCGAAGGAGTGACGTGGGACCGCCTTCCCGTGGGCTCACCACCTGCAGGAAGAGCCGTAAGGGGCCGGTGCAGAGAGGATTGGGTGGCAGTCGAAGGCGGGGACCTCGACGACCCGATCCCTGGACACGGAAACTAGCCTTAGGGACGTGGAACATCACCTCGCTGGCGGGGAAGGAGCCTGAGATGGTGCGTGAGGTTGAGAGGTTCCGACTAGAGATAGTCGGGATTACCTCTACGCATGGCTTGGGCTCTGGAACCACACTCCTTGAGAGAGGATGGACTCTTCACCACTCTGGAGTTGCCCATGGTGAAAGGCGACGGGCTGGTGTGGGTTTGCTTATAGCCCCCCAGATCAGCCGCCATGTGTTGGAGTTTACCCCGGTGAATGAGAGGGTCGTTTCCCTGCGCCTAGGTCTCTCACTGTCGTGTGTGCCTACGGGCCAAACGGCAGTGCAGAGTACCCGGCCTTCTTGGGGTCTCTGGGAGGAGTGCTGGAAAGTGCTCCGACTGGGGACTCCGTCGTTCTACTGGGGGACTTCAACGCTCACGTGGGCGGCGACAGTGACACCTGGAGGGGCGTGATTGGGAGGAACGGCCCCCCCCGACCTGAACCCGAGCGGTGTTCAGTTATTGGACTTCTGTGCTAGTTACAGTTTGTCCATAACGAACACCATGTTCAAGCATAAGGGTGTCCACCAGTGCACGTGGCACCAGGACACCCTAGGTCGCAGGTCGATGATCGACTTTGTGGTCGTTTCATCTGACCTGCGGCCGTATGTCTTGGACACTCGGGTGAAGAGAGGCGCGGAGCTGTCAACTGATCACCACCTGGTGGTGAGTTGGATCCGATGGCGGGGGAGGAGGCTGGACAGACTCGGCAGACCCAAGCGTACTGTAAGGGTTTGCTGGGAACGTTTGGCCGAGTCTCCTGTCAGAGAGATCTTCAACTCCCACCTCCGGCGGAGCCACGACCGGATCCCGAGGGAGGCTGGAGATATTGAGTCTGAGTGGACCACGTTCTCCACCTCCATTGTCGAAGCGGCTGCTCGGAGCTGTGGCCGTAAGGTCTCCGGTGCCTGTCGAGGCGGCAATCCCCGAACCCGGTGGTGGACACCGGAAGTAAAGGATGCCGTCAAGCTGAAGAAGGAGTCCTATCGGGCCTGGTTGGCTTGTGGGACTCCTGAGGCAGCTGACAGGTACCGGCAGGCCAAGCGGACTGCAGCCCGGGTGGTTGTGGAGGCAAAAACTCGGGCCTGGGAGGAGTTCGGTGAGGCCATGGAGAAGGACTATCGGCTGGCCTCGAAGAGATTCTGGCAAACTGTCCGGCGCCTCAGGAGAGGGAAACAGTGCCCTACCAATGCTGTTTACAGTGGAGGTGGGCGGCTGTTGACCTCAACTGGGGATGTCGTCGGACGGTGGAAGGAATACTTCGAGGATCTCCTCAATCCCGCCGTCACGTCTTCTATTGAGGAAGCAGAGGCTGAGGGCTCAGAGGTGGACTCGTCCATCACCCTAGCTGAGGTCACCCAGGTAGTCAAGAAACTCCTCGGTGGCAAGGCACCGGGGGTGGATGAGATCCGCCCTGAGTACCTCAAGTGTCTGGATGTTGTGGGGCTGTCTTGGCTGACACGCCTCTGCAGCATCGCGTGGCGGTCAGGGACAGTGCCTCTGGGATGGCAGACCGGGGTGGTGGTCCCTCTTTTTAAGAAGGGGGACCGGAGGGTGTGTTCCAACTACAGGGGGATCACACTTCTCAGCCTCCCTGGGAAAGTCTATGCCAGGGTACTGGAGAGGAGAATACGGCCGATAGTGGAACCTCGGATTCAGGAGGAACAGTGCGGTTTTCGTCCGGGCCGTGGAACACTGGACCAGCTCTATACTCTCTACAGGGTGCTGGAGGGTTCATGGGAGTTTGCCCAACCAGTCCACATGTGCTTTGTGGATTTGGAGAAGGCATTCGACTGTGTCCCTCGCGGCGGCCTGTGGCGGGTGCTCCGGGAGTATGGGGTCCGGGGTTCTTTGCTAAGGGCTGTCCGGTCCCTGAATGACCGAAGCAGGAGCTTGGTTCGCATTGCCGGTAGTAAGTCAGACTTCTTCCCGGTGCATGTTGGACTCCGGCAGGGCTGCCCTTTGTCGCCGGTTCTGTTCATAGTTTTTATGGACAGAATTTCTAGGCGCAGCCAGGGGCCGGAGGGTGTCAGGTTTGGGGACCACGCGATTTCGTCGCTGCTTTTTGCGGATGATGTTGTCGTGTTGGCCCCTTCACACCAGGACCTTCAGCATGCACTGGGACGGTTTGCAGCCGAGTATGAAGCGGCTGGGATGAAAATCAGCACCTCCAAATCCGAGGCCATGGTCCTCAGTCGGAAAAGGGTGGCTTGCTCACTTCAAGTTGGTGGAGAGATCCTTCCTCAAGTGGAGGAGTTTAAGTATCTTGGGGTTTTGTTCACGAGTGAGGGAAGGATGGAACGGGAGATTGACAGACGGATCGGTGCAGTTTCTGCAGTAATGCGGTCGATGTACCGGTCTGTTGTGGTGAAGAAGGAGCTGAGCCGTAAGGCAAAGCTCTCGATTTACCGGTCAATCTACGTTCCTACTCTCACCTATGGTCATGAGCTTTGGGTCATGACCGAAAGGACAAGATCCCGGATACAGGCGGCCGAAATGAGCTTTCTCCGCAGGGTGGCTGGGCGATCCCTTAGAGATAGGGTGAGAAGCTCGGTCACTCGGGAGGAGCTCAGAGTAGAGCCGCTGCTCCTCCACATCGAGAGGGGTCAGCTGAGGTGGCTCGGGCATCTGTTCCGGATGCCTCCTGGACGCCTTCCCGGGGAGGTGTTCCGGGCACGTCCCACTGGGAGGAGACCCCGGGGAAGACCTAGGACACGCTGGAGAGACTATGTCTCCCGGCTGGCCTGGGAACGCCTCGGTGTCCCCCCGGAAGAGCTGGAGGAAGTGTCCAGGGAGAGGGAAGTCTGGGCATCTCTGCTCAGACTGCTGCCCCCGCGACCCGGCCCCGGATAAGCGGAAGAAGATGGATGGATGGGAGGCACGGTTTTAAGCGCTCGTGGCTACAGTGCCACCGTAAGATAAAAAGCTTAATGACTTTTAAAAATATTGTGGAAAGCAAAACACTGGATAATTTTATTCGCATCTGCATCCATTGTATTTCGTGCTGTTTTACTTCCTTTTCCGGGTCAGAACATCTACATTTGGTAGTTTCAGCAGTGTATAGTGTAAATGCAAAAATCGGATAAGGGTCACTTTTAAAAGATGATGTAAGCGGGTCGTCAAAAAAATCGGATATAGTCAGAAAATCGGATTTGGGCATCAAGACCTGCAGTGTAAATGCAGCCTAAGACTGCTTATTTACTAACCTGAAAAACCCTGGTTATTATTTCACATAATGATTACAGGAAACTAACACTCATTTTTTAAAAGTTTTTATTTCTTGTGCTGTACATTCGCCTCCCTCCAGCCCATATGGTGATCTAATAACTGCCTTTATATTATTTAAATTATTTAGATGTGCCTTGGAATGCATACATTTCTCTAAAACTAAATGTAATATCATTACAAAATCATGGTACTTGGAATATTTTCTATTCAGCCAAGAAGTCTTGAGAAGCAATGCTTTACAGTGATTTATATCATGGTTATGGTTAAGCTTGACGTGAAGTGGTACTAGCAATTTGATGAATTTGAATTTAATAACATTATCACGAAAAATGGATTTTTTCCAACTTATAAGTACTAAAATAAAAATCAAATAAAGTACAGAGCATATATATATATGTACCGGTATATAAACTTCAGGTCTGTTTTTTTTTTTTTTTTTTTTAAGTATTCTTGTCTGCATAATAACTTGAATCAAAGCAAGGTAAACATCTGTTTTTGGCCAGCATTTTGTTCTGTACCAATTAGTTTGTAATTGTTTGTTCTGTTTAATTTCAGACAAATAAGCTTGACTCAGCAGCAGAGGACAATAATAAAGCAACACTAGCAATGCAAGGTAAGTAAAACATGACTCATCAAAAGCACTAAAAGGCTCTTTAACTACTGTTAAGCATCTGATCCTTTATTTATTTGCATCTCTGGCATGTGAGCCTGGGCCAATGCGAATAGCTCTGCACACTCATTTTTGCATGCTCATGAGATAAACCAGACGTTCCCAGCATAGCCATAACTCACAACGGCACACTTTTTACTCGCTCCGCAATCCAATTTGTGTGAAAGTTTGGGGAAAATGATCATATTAGCACAAATACTGCTTCATGAGCTCCTCTATGACCTTCTCCCCTTCTTCTGTGTGGCGGCAGAAATGGAAAGGAACATGAAAACGGAGAGAGAGAAGCTGGATCAGGTGTCCAGGGAGAAGGAGGAACTGCAGAAGAAACAGGTGAAGGATGAAGAGAGAGAGATTCGGATGAAGGAGCTGAAGGAGAAGTTGGGCCAAACAGAAGGAGAGTTGAGCAGAATCACAGAGAGGAGCGTTGGGCCGGAACGGCAGGTGGCGGAACTGAAAGCCTACAAGAACCAAACCCAGGTGACTGACATTTACCACTGTAAAACAGACGCCCACTTTTATACACTACCGGTCAATACACTGGGGTGGGTACGGTTTGTAACATTAATGTTATTTGTAAAGCATATTAGATTGATTTCTGAAGGACCATGTGACACTGAACACTGAAGTAATGGAATCAGAAACATAAGATACTTCATTCAAAAGCATAATTTGCTGAATAAAATATATATATATATATATATATATATATATATATATATATATTTTAAAAAAAGAATGACCCCAAAATTTTGAATGGTAGTGCATGTGTAGCATATGAGATGTTTTTGAAATTGAACACATTTTTTTCATAATATTTCATCAAAATTTACTGAAAATATATTAGAATTTCAAAAATATTTTAAAGGAGAAAATTCATTTTAATTTACATTTGTTGTCACCATTATCCTTTTAAGTTTTGGAAACAATTTATTATAATTTCCAAAGTAACATAGTTCAGTTATTTTACATTGCTTAAAGGAGATTGCATATTTATTTATGATTTTACAGTGATAACAATAACTCCAGAAAGTATTGTATATTGTCTCTGTAAATACTTGTCAGGTCGGCCAACTCTAACATATCCATCTGTCATTAATTCCATATAGCATATACTGTTAATCTATGCCATAACAAAAGGCCATCATGTTTCTACTGTTTAAAAGCTTGGGGTCACTGAAGACTGGAGTATTGATGCTGAAAATTCAGCTTTGCCATCACCGGAATAATTACATTTAAAACATTTTAAAATAGAAAACGGTTATTTAAACTAATAATATTTCACAGACTAGTATTACTTTTTTTTTTTACTGTATTCTTGTTCAGATAAATGCAGCCTTGGTGAGCATAAGAGACTTGATTTAAAACTCTTACCAACCCCAAACTAGTGCATATTTGAGCATGTTGGTCAAGAAGTGTAGTACAAGTGTGTAATTGGAGGTTTTTTCACGCACAGTCTGATGAAAACCTGGAGCAGATGATGCACAAGAATAAGGAGTTGCAGGAGGAGGTAAGTACGCTTAACTCTTCATATCATAAATAAACAGTGTTTTATGACTCCAGGTTACTTTACTTCGTATCCGTGTGAGGATGTTTGGAAGGGTGGGACTATTTTGATGACCTTTACCTGTTCAAAAGTCGCCTCTGTGAGACGTGGTTGTCAGGGTGCTCTGGGTGGTTGCTAGTTGTTTGCTCACTGGATCTCCTTGCCAGTCCACATGATTTGAGGTATTCGTGTTCATACAGTAGGATGAAGTTTATAGACCTTATTCAGAGCAGTGCCATGACAGGTATGAAAACGAGGCTGTGAGAGATAGAATTACCATGTTTTCGATTGCTGTATAAAACTCCTAGATCACTTTTTATGCCACAGCTCATGTTGTCTGGACTTTTACAGTGTTTCGTCAGCAGAACGATCCAAAAACACATTAAACAGCAGTATAACCCACTGACGAGATGTATGTCAACCCTTCTCACAGCCTAAAAAAAAGTCAAAGATGGCGCTGCCGTGTATAAGGTCGCTTTCTTAGTGTTAGGGGTTTGTCCAAATCACTAACCTTAGCAGTGATTGTGATTCTTGCCTTAGCAGACACCAGTAATAATCATAAAAAATATCTGCTTTTAAAGAGATAATTCACCCCCCAAAATTGATTCTGTCATTAATTACTCATGACCCTCATGTCGTTCCAAACCCGTAAGACTTTTGTTCATCTTTGGAACACAAATGAAGATATTTTTGATGAAATCTGAGAACTTTCTGTCCCTCCATTGACGCTTCAAAAAGTTTATAAAGAGATCGTAAAACAAATCCATATGAATCGAGCGGTTTAGTCCAAACTTTTCTTTTTCCAAACGCTTTATATGATGAACAGATGAACATTCATCAACTCACACATCATCAGTAATTACTGACAGAATTTTAACTTTTAGGTGAACTATCCCTTTAACATCATGACATGAATTACTGCTGTCAATATGACGTTGAACACAAAATATGTGTGAAACTGCCAGTAGTATTATTAAAACATATTCCGAATTTGTAGTCAGATTAACTTGAAGTCATTTATTTAAGAGGTGAGCAGAGATTTTTCACTGTGTAAATGTCCTGTTACTGATGAAATGGTTCAGACACTTTGTTAGTTCATGCATGAGTCCTCTACATCTGACCGCCTGCAGGGTGCATGTAAAGCATGTTCTGTGCGCTCGTATGTGGCCTTACATAAGCAGCCCGACGGCCAGCGCTTATCAGAGGAGACTTTCCTCCTGCGGTTGTGCTTTTCACATACGGTAAGACTGCGTGAACGTGAAAGAGTCACAGGTCTTCTTATGTCACTGGTCCTCGAGTGATAGGAACCTGCAATGGTTCAGAGAATGTTGTTGGTTCAGTCTGTGGATATTCACACATGCACATTATTATTAGGAACAATAATTATGGTCTTGGTTTAAAGACATTTGTGTGGATAAGCATAATCTGTTAAGCATTGATGAGGGTAATTTTGGTTCGTCTCCTGTGGCCTTTCAAACCAGACATTTGGCGAGTGCTAGGTTTAAAAGACAACTAATATTTAGGAATATTATCAATTTAATTGCACTGACGCTATCAGATACGAACAAAATCTTTAATTGAATTGAGCTGGAATTTGTTCATAATTGATGAGTTTTACAGTCAAGTCACCTTTAGTTTTATGCTGCTTTATAGATTTAGAAATGTTTTCAAAGCAGCTTCGCAGTAATAAATAGGAAAGTAACAGAACAAACTTCGTCAAATATTAGACAAGCATACATATACAACATTATCATGTTATTTTCCTGTTTAATATAGTGAAGCTGTTTTTAAACAATCTGTATTGTATAAATATACTGTATAAATAATAAACAGTGCATGCTCCTATTAATGGATTCGAAAGATTTAGATAGAAAAGGTGTTTTAGGGTAAAGCGACAACATGCTCAGGATATCCATAGAGAGAGACCAGTGCTTGTTTGGGTCAATTCATGCAGATTTTAGTAAGACTTACTTTCTGTTTCACGAGGCAAAACATAGACAGAGTTAAAGGGTTAGTTCACCAAAAAGGAAAATTCTCTTATTATTTACTCACCCTAATATTGTTCTAAACCCATATGACTGACTTTGATTCATGGAGCACAAAATCAGTTTTGGAGAATGTACAAGCGTCTTTTTGCACTATATTCCAAATCTTTTGAAGAGTATATACCACAACTTTGTGTTAAATCAGAGGAGATGTACTTAAAGGGATAGTTCACCCAAAAATGAAAATTCTGTCATTTAATTGCTCATCCTCATGTTGTTCCAAACCCGAAAGATTGTGGACCAAATTTGGACTAAACTGCTCAATTCATATGGAGTTTTATGATCTCTTTATGAACTTTTTGAAGCGTCAAAGTGTCAGTTTTGTGGCTGTCAATGAAGGAACAGAAAGCTCTCAGATTTCATCAAGATCTTCATTTGTGTTCTGAAGATGACTGAAAGTCTTACGGGTTTGGAACGACGTGAGAGTGAGTAATTAATGACAGTGGGTGAACTATCCCTTTAAATTTTGCTCTATTCTTCAAACAAAGCTATCAAAAGTCTTTATTTAGCACGTAATATTGACACCTTTTTTGTCACTATGAACTGCTGTTATATAAACAATGCTGTTATATAGGTTTGAAATGACATGAGTGTGAGTAAATTATGACAGAGTTAAAAGGTTTGGGTGAACTGTCCCTTTAAGTTTATTTTTGGTTTCTGTATTGAAAAAGACAACCTTATTGTGACCTCATTTAGGACTTTTGTCCCCTCAAGGTTTAGAAAAGCAGAGTTAATTTAGGTTAGCCTGAATTTCCTTCTATTTTGTGTCATTCAAGGATGACACTGAAGTCTCTTGCACAGCCTCTGCTGAAGCTTTAAAAAAATAAACCACTGTTTAAAAATTTGGGGTCGGTAAAACATTTTTAAAAACATTTTAAAACTTATTCTCAATCAGGCGGCATTTATTGGATCAAAAATACAGTGTAATATTATGAAATATTATAATTTAAAAGAACTGTTTTTTTTAAGTATGTTTAAAAATGTAATTTATTCCTGTGATCAAAGCTGAATTTTCAGCATCATTACTTTAGTGTCACATGATCCTTCAGAAATCATTCTAATATGATGATTTGCTGCTCAAGAAACATTTCATATTATCAATGAAAACAGTTTTGCTGCTTAATATTTTTGTGGAAACTCTTTACGTTTCAGGATTCTTTGATGAATGCAAAGTTAAGAAAAAAACATTAGAATTTTCATTTGAAAGTCATTACTGTCATTTTTTCAAGTTCTTTAAACAAAAAAACGTAGCCAAACATTTGAATGGTAGTGTACATTCACCAAATAATGTTTAAATAGAAACCAGGACTGAGTTCTCGCTCACACAAGGATTTTCATTTCTCTGATGTCACCAGTCAAACATGAACTGTCTCATCATGTAGAAACGTCTAATTCAGGATGAATGAGCATTGATGACGGAGAACAGCAGAAGGGGTGGTGGTGGGGGGTGTCGAGAGGGGCGGGGCTTGTCGTCCTTACATAATGAAGCTGCCCTGTGTGATGCTTCTCAGAGCGTGTGTTTGCTCAAACGTGAGTGTGTGCTGGAACGCCAGCGGAGCACGAGCGGCTCTCTCTCTCTCTCTCTGCAGGGGGCCGTAGGGGGATGTATTATTGATAGGGCACATTTGTTTGGAAAAAATAGCAAGGACACAGCAGCATGGATGTGACAGCGCTCCAACAGAACTACACGGGCAGCGTTTATACCTCGTTCTGCCAGGTAAAGGTCGCTCTTCTGTAGTGCTCTTCCCCTGTGGGGATGCATGATACTGTATATTGGTGACCATGGTTGGACCATTCAGCAATAGTAGCTTTTTTTAACTATTGGAATTGGATTGTGATGACATTGTTTTTTTTTTTTCAATTTAAACCCTTTTAGTTGCATGCATGTTTTGATGGCTGATTGCACTTGAAGTGTGTATTATTTTAGATGATGTTAAATGCGAGCGCTGTTTGTTGTCGTCCCCCCCCCCCCCCCAATGTATCCATTTATAATATCAGCCAGTGTGAGTTAAAATATCTAACTTCTAGAGTTTATTTTCAGTAGCAAATTGGATATTGGTGATAGCATAAATTATTTTCAGATATCCATATTGCATCCCTATTTTTTAGCTCTTTCTGATTTTTTAGATGATTTTTATGCATTAAAAGGAAAGAAAATCCTATGACGTGTGACTTTTATCTGGTGCACGTTATGACGTGTGCATTTGAGTTGAAGAATGCTTTCATGCGAGTCTGTATGAAACGGTTGTTTATGACAGTTCGTTCAGTGATGACAGTATAATTCCTCAATCATCAAGGATTCTCTCGAGCTTTCTCAATGTAAACACTGAATCACTCCATGATCTCAGCACAGGCAAATCTCCATGATTCATTAAAAAAACACTGATGTTGGTTCTTGGCATGTAGATGAAATGAATTACCAACTCGGCCAGTTGTAGGCGTTTGTGCTGAAGAGTGTAATTAACGCTTCAGTCTGATGCAGACCAGTTAGTTACAGAGAGTCTGATGGGATTGAATTATGGGTCTCATGGGAACAGTAATCTGACTTCACCAGATTTCACAGTCTGACATGCTTTTACTAAGTATTAGTTGTGCATGTATTAGTCCTAAATGTGATTTATCTTTTCTGATTTAAAAACAGAGTAAGCTCTCATTGATTATACTTTGTCAAAATTAGACAGTGTTTGCTAAAGAAGGCAGCATCACTAATACTATTACTCATGCTTAGGTTTGTTTCAATCTCGAACTAGTTTTGGTGTGTAACTTGTACTGAAATGTTTGTGCTACAGAAATAATTGCTACTTAAAATAATTTTTAAGGAGAGATGGTTTCTTATTTTACAATTTTTGGACGTGAAAACGGCGGAAAACAACCAGAACACCTTTTTATGCATAAGCACATTATTATTTTCATGACAATTAAATGCTTTTCCCCCAGTTGTATTTTAGTCTTATATTTATATACTATTATTAAGATTTTGAATTAGCGTTTGTTTTTATGTGTTTAGTTTTCATTTTAAATTTAATTGAAGTTTCAGTAATTTTATGTGCTTTTGTCACTTTTACTTTTGTTTGTCCTTCACGTTTTAGTATTTTATACTGTATGTTGCATTTAATTTATTTTATCTCTTAGGTTTGATGCACATTTTTTTATTGAATGTGATGTTGCTGTTGATATTTGACTGTATAATTTTAATGTAAAGCACTTTGAACTGGATTTTATGCCTGAAAAGTGCTATATAATTTTTTTTGTGTGTTTTTATTTCAAGGCAGCATTTCTAATTTTCATTTAAGTTTTTTAATCTATTTTTTATATTTTATTTCAGCTTTTTTTCAATTAACAAAAACATTTTTAAATAGTTTTAGTAAACAATAACAGCACTGCTTTTCCTCTAAATATTACTGGATATTTACTGTCATTTAGAAAATACTGTAATAAAGATAGTAGTAAAGTAAAGAACAACAAATACTACTATTGTAGAAATACACTATGTAAATGTAAATAATATTTATACAACATTTTTTCCCCCACATTGCAGGTATGGAAATTTGATATTTTTGTGATAGTGAGAATTTGAGTTGAAATATGCTTAATTATCATCAAAATAATTTAAGAATGCAGGAAAAGACATGATGGTCATTAAGTATGCATGAATTTCTTTACGGAAAATACATGTTTTTGGAAGGTTTCGTGACATTCTCTCCAACACGTTTTGTCCTAAAGCCTAATTTTCACTTGTTTTAATGATCTTTTATCTCTTCCACCAGCTTGAGGCCCTGAAGCAGCAGAACTCTCAGTATCAGGAGCAGTTGTGTTCAGAAACTCAGCGCATCGGGAACCTCTGCAAAGAAATGTGAGTCTCCTCAAGTCCTGCTGACATGATGCACCCATGCATTTTCTCTTCACTGACTGTTTTATTATTATTCACTTTCACACTTTCATTGATAGTGATAGAAGAAAGAGGACTGAAATGATAGGGAGGAGAGGAAAATGACACAATCAAGCCTCAAACGTATCCGAGCACGTGTGCCGACCACTAGACTACAGCTGCAACAATTAAACGCTATTTAACATCTTTCAGCTGCGTCTTATTAAATTAATTGTCTGCTTAGTTGGAGCTAAAAACAAGGATTTTGATCTTAATTAGTTGGGTAAGTACTATGTTGTGGTGATTAAGTGAGATCAGCGAGTCACAGAATGACATCACGAGTCCACCTGGTTACAACAACTGTGATTTCTGTATAACAAAAGGCGTAATGCTCGTGTTCTGAGTCTGACGCATTGAGCTCACATGAACGATATGAGTTTGAAGTTTGAGTTTGGCTCACAGCATTTCACATTCAGGATAATCAATAAGAAAAATATGTAGGGCAGAACCTGATTTTGTCCATTAGGAATTGATTGGATGGTGAAAAGCGTCTCTACTGTATATGAAAGTGTTTGAAAAATAAGAGGGTTTTGTGACCCGCTGTAAAGATAAATTCTTCAAAAATAAATTAAAATTTGAAATTAATTGCAAAAAATGTAATTTACCTTTTTCACAAAATGTTTAATTTTTCATAAGCACCATTTATTTGCAACTAATTTGCTATTTCTTTGCAATAAATTTGTTTGCAAAATGAAGTAATTCCAAAAATTTACATTTTTCACAAATTGTTAAACTTTTCATAAGCACCATTTATTTGCTTATTTGCAGCTAATTTGCTAATTATTTGCAATTTGTCTGCAATAAATTTGCTTTCAAAATGAATTAATTCCAAAAATTGTACCGTAATTTAAAATGGTCATAAAATGTTTCACTTTTTATATTTAAGCGGTTTATTTTATTATTTGCAATAAATTAGCTCATTTTGTTTTGCAATTTGTTTGCAATACATTTGTTTGCAAAATGAATTAATTCCAAAAATTGTCATTTACATTTTTCACAAATTGTTTAACTTTTCATAAACTCAATTAGCTTATTTGCAGTTTATTTGCAGATTATTTTTAAACAAATTCGTTTGCAAAATGAATTAATTCCAAAAATAGTCATTTAAATGTTTCTTAAAATATTTCACTTTTCATATTGCAATAAATTTGTTTGCAAAATTAATTTAAACATTTAAGCAGAAACCTCAAAATGCTTTTGTGATGGTGTAAATGGGGTCCATATTGAATTCATGTTGACTTTAAACTAAAGCAGCACTAACCGAAGCTCAAAGCCTTGGTAACTCAAGCTGATCCGACACGCTCCTTCAAGCTGCGGCTGATCGGCGTGTCCGGCGAGTGACGGCTCCGGTAATGCGAGCAGGTTCCCGTGTGAAGCCTCTTCTGAACTCTTGGGCTGAAGAGACTCTCAGCCCAACGCTTCAGAAGTGAGCGTCTCTCCTCCAGGGAGTTTTATGTAACCGCGTCTCTCCAACTACAGCTGCTCTTCTCTGCCTGTCTAGTGGTCCCGACTCCACGTGAGTTCCTTTCATAACGCTCTGTTGATCTTCTGACACTCATGAATATGTATCGTGACGTAGCCTGTAATATCATCATTTTAAAAAAGTATTATTTCTTTATGAGAAAAATAGTGTTATGCTTCATTAAATGCAGCATATTCTTTTTGAATCCGTGGGAATCTTTCAGCCTGTAGTTTCATGACGTACAGAGACCTCACTTTGTTTTTCCGCTTGAGCTTTGAGCGTGCATGATTTGATTTATTCCTGCATCATAATGCACTCTAGGTGAAAATAGATTGGCTCATTCGTTACACACGAGGAGGATGACGGTGACCTTTCTGTTGTGACTTTGTGGAGCTCACGTTTTTACTACCACTTTTTGGAACCAAACGCTCTTATTTTTCAAACGCTTGGTCTTAAAAACCAGTTAAAGGGTTGTGATGGAAAGGAAAGATGTTATATTAAGCATGATGCATTCACTTGAGAAGAATAACATGATTGACATCAGGGCGATTTGAAATTTTGAGGACTTGTCACTGGCATCAGAACAAACATAAATCATAATGTATCATAAATACAAATAATAAAATAGTATTTTATGCTCAATTTGTTCAAATAAATGCAGCCTTGCTGAGGATTAGACTTTTTTTTAAATCAAAAATACAGTAAAAACAGTAATATTGTAAATTATTACTTCTTAAAATATTTTTTTACTATTGTAATATATTTTAAAATGTAATTTATTCCTGTGATCAAAGCTGAATTTTCAGTATCAATACTCCAGTCTTCAGTGTCACATGAGAAATCATTCTAATATGCTGATTTGCTGCTCAAGAAACATTTATGATTATTATCAATGTTGAAAACAGTCGTGCTGCTTCATATTTGTGTGGAATTCCTGATTTTAAGATTCTTTGATGAATAGAAAGTTTAAAAGAACAGCATTTATTTGAAATAGAATAAACAACATTATAAATGTCTTCACTGACACTTTTGATTGATTTAATGTATCCTTGCTAAATAAAAGTATCAATTTCTTAAAAAAAAAAAAAGATTTTACTGATCCAAAACTTTTGAACGGCATTGAAGGTCATCCAAACGTTGAATTCATACAGAAAATTAATATACTGGAAAATACTAGTATGGTAATTGTAACAGATGTCCACTGTAGGCGAGATGAACTTGAACCCAAGTGCATATTTTTTAAATAAAGTGACAAAATATAATCCAAAACAGGCTTGACTATGGCTTGACTATGGTTGGCTTGACTATGGCTTGACTATGGCTTGACTATGGTCGGCTTGACTATGGCTTGACTATGGTCGGCTTGACTATGGCTTGACTATGGTCGGCTTGACTATGGCTTGACTATGGCTTGACTATGGTCGGCTTGACTATGGCTTGACTATGGCTTGACTATGGTCGGCTTGACTATGGCTTGACTATGGCTTGACTATGGTCGGCTTGACTATGGGTTGACTATGGTCGGATTGACTATGGCTTGACTATGGCTTGACTATGGTCGGCTTGACTATGGCTTGACTATGGTCGGCTTGACTATGGCTTGACTATGGTCGGCTTGACTATGGCTTGACTATGGTCGGCTTGACTATGGCTTGACTATGGTCGGCTTGACTATGGCTTGACTATGGTCGGCTTGACTATGGCTTGACTATGGTCGGCTTGACTATGGTCGGCTTGACTATGGTCGGCTTGACTATGGCTTGACTATGGCTTGACTATGGCTCGACTATGGCTTGACTATGGTCGGCTTGACTATGGCTTGACTATGGTCGGCTTGACTATGGCTCGACTATGGTCGGCTTGACTATGGTTTGACTATGGCTTGACTATGGCTCGACTATGGCTTGACTATGGTCGGCTTGACTATGGCTTGACTATGGCTTGACTATGGTCGGCTTGACTATGGCTTGACTATGGCTTGACTATGGTCGGCTTGACTATGGCTTGACTGTGGCTCGACTATGGCTTGACTATGGCTTGACTGGTCGGCTTGACTATGGCTTGACTATGGCTTGACTATGGCTCGACAATGGCTTGACTATGGTCGGCTTGACTATGGCTTGACTATGGTCGGCTTGACTATGGCTTGACTATGGCTCGACTATGGCTTGACTATGGTCGGCTTGACTATGGCTTGACTATGGCTCGACTATGGCTCGACTATGGCTTGACTATGGTCGGCTTGACTATGGCTTGACTATGGCTCGACAATGGCTTGACTATGGTCGGCTTGACTATGGCTTGACTATGGTCGGCTTGACTATGGCTTGACTATGGCTCGACTATGGCTTGACTATGGTCGGCTTGACTATGGCTTGACTATGGCTCGACTATGGCTTGACAATGGTCGGCTTGACTATGGCTTGACTATGGCTCGACTATGGCTTGACTATGGTCGGCTCGACTATGGCTTGACTATGGCTTGACTATGGTCGGCTTGACTATGGCTTGACTATGGTCGGCTTGACTATGGTCGGCTTGACTATGGCTTGACTATGGCTTGACTATGGCTTGACTGTGGCTCGACTATGGCTTGACTATGGTCGGCTTGACTATGGCTTGACTATGGCTTGACTATGGCTCGACAATGGCTTGACTATGGTCGGCTTGACTATGGCTTGACTATGGTCGGCTTGACTATGGCTTGACTATGGTCAGCTTGACTATGGCTTGACAATGGTCGGCTTGACTATGGTCGGCTTGACTATGGCTTGACAATGGTCGGCTTGACTATGGTCGGCTTGACTATGGCTTGACTATGGCTCGACTATGGCTTGACTATGGTCGGCTTGACTATGGCTTGACTAGGGCTTGACTGGTCGGCTTGACTATGGCTTGACTGGTCGGCTTGACTGGCTTAACTATGGCTTGACTATGGTCGGCTTGACTATGGCTTGACTATGGTCGGCTTGACTATGGCTTGACTATGGCTCGACTATGGCTTGACTATGGTCGGCTTGACTATGGCTTGACTATGGTCGGCTTGACTATGGCTTGACTATGGTCGGCTTGACTATGGCTTGACTATGGTCGGCTTGACTATGGCTTGACTATGTTCGGCTTGACTATGGTCGGCTTGACTGGCTTGACTATGGCTTGACTATGGCTCGACTATGGCTCGACTGGCTCGACTATGGCTTGACTATGGCTTGACTATGGCTCGACTATGGCTTGACTATGGTCGGCTTGACTATGGCTTGACTATGGCTTGACTATGGTCGGCTTGACTATGGCTTGACTATGGTCGGCTTTACTATGGTCGGCTTGACTATGGCTTGACTATGGTCGGCTTGACTATGGCTTGACTATGGTCGGCTTGACTATGGCTTGACTATGGCTTGACTATGGTCGGCTTGACTATGGCTTGACTATGGTCGGCTTGACTATGGTCGGCTTGACTATGGCTTGACAATGGTCGGCTTGACTATGGTCGGCTTGACTATGGTCGGCTTGACTATGGCTTGACTATGGTCGGCTTGACTATGGCTTGACTATGGTCGGCTTGACTATGGCTTGACTATTGCTTGACAATGGTCGGCTTGACTATGGTCGGCTTGACAATGGTCGGCTTGACTATGGTCGGCTTGACTATGGCTTGACTATGGCTTGACTATGGTCGGCTTGACTATGGCTTGACTATGGTCAGCTTGACTATGGTCGGCTTGACTATGGCTTGACTATGGCTTGACACAAGACTTGGCATGAACATAAATACACTCACCAACAGTTGGTTACAACATCAAAGCTAGATAAGGGACAAGGGAAACATGAGGGCTATAAATACACACAGACTAATGACTTACCAAGACATACCTGAACACAATGAACCAATAAACCAAGACAATGAACTAATGACAACATAGGACACATGACAAGGGGAGCACATGGCAGGAGCACATGACAAACCCGGGAGCACATGACAAAACCAGGAACATGACAATGGAGAAACTACAAAATAAAGGACATGAAACAAAACTCAAAACTAGAGATGACAGTAATATACTAGTCCTATATGATACTATAAGCATTACTTTTTCTTTATGTCTCTCCGTAGTGAGGAGGTAAAACTGTCAGCCAATCAGAAGTCTCAGAGGCAGGTGTCGCTCCAGGACGAGAAAGGGATGTTGGCTCAGGAGTTGGACGTCTACAACCAGCAGGTGTTTATCTGTCTGCCTTTACTTAGACGTTTCCTGAAATGCTTTGCTCTGTGACACTCTCAGTTGGTTTGAGCGATTGAGTTATCATGTATCATGTTGTTTTTTTGGCAGCTTGATGACGAAGCTTTGACTAGCCATCTGGAGATTACAGAGAGGTAAGCACGTCTCTGACTCAGTATTAAGTTCATTCAATCAAATCAAAACATTAAAAGACAGCTCTGAGTGAAGCCTGCTGTTTATAACCATAGAAAATAATATATATTTGTGTCTCAGTCAGTAAAAACAAGCATAAACACAGTGCTCTTACACTGGAAGTCTATGGGGAAAGACAATTTGGAAATGTTATGCTTGTATTTTTGTTAACGTGAGAGTAGTGATGCAAGTATTTTTCCCATACATTTTCTTCACAAGCATTCAAAAACCAAATTATCTGTGGTTATAAACAGCATGTCACGGATGCTTTTGATGGTGCTTAATGGAGCTCTGTCTCAGTAATTGTTCAAATAAGAGCTGGATTTGAGATCACATGCACTCTGGAAGCTTTAAATGTCATTTCATCTCCCGGGAAAGCTTGTCAGTACTTGTTCTTTAGAGATCAGTGTTTTATGATATACTAAGATCACCACGTCTAGATTGTTTCTATGATTCCCATGTGGTTGAACAACTCATATAATGGTACCAAGTACAAGCTTTTGGCTTCAGATCTATTGTTTTCCTCCACCCTAGAAAAAAACCTCTGCTGTCCCACTGAATGTCTGTTCATTTTTTGCATGTTTTTCTGTAAGCTTTTAATCTTCAGACCTCCATTGGGAGATGTTCTCAGAGTGCATATGGCTTTTGTAACATGATTGTAAATCCAACAATGGGCTCCAGTTATAGTGAGCTCTTGTCTGTTCTCACAGAGAGAATTCCAATGCAGTGATGTCCGATAAAGACAAAGAGCTAGAGACACTACGAAATGAGGTAAGAGCTTTGATTCTTGAGTTTTATAAGTCTAACCAAACCTCTGGATCAAGAATGTTTTATCCACTGTGAACTATGACTGAGTTTGAACTTACTGTATGTACAAAGAATGCTTTTAGTAGATTCATTTCATATCAAAACAATATGTATTGTTGGCACTTAATATTGTCAGATAATGGGAAACTATCATTTGTGATCTAAAGATGTTTTTTGTTATCCCAGATTGCAGTGCTGCGTGGGGAAAATGCCATGGCCAAGACGCTGCAGTCGGCCGTGACGTCTCTAGAGCGGGACAAAGCCCAGCTGCAGAGCCGAGTGAACAGCTTGGAGGAAAAGCTGGAGGGCCGGGAGACGGGGAATGGAGAGGAAGTCATCTCAGGTCCGTCAGCGTATTTATATTTGGAATAGAATGACAGCGCAGAGCGCACTGCTTACTGTATACTGTATAATAAACTGTATACTGCTAGCTATTTATTTACTCTACTGTTCAAAAGTCTTTTTAATTGTGAGATTTTTTTAATACATTTTTTTTCAAGAAGTCTCTTATCCTCACCAAGGCTGCATTTGTTTGTTAAAAAATACTGTGGAATCCGTAATATTGTGAAATATTATAAATTTCAAATAACTGTTTTCTATGTTATTATATTATTTCAAAATGTAATTTGTTAGCTTTTTATACAAAAAGCTGAATTTTCAGCATCATTACTCCAGTCTTCAGTGTCTCATGATCCTTCAGAAATCATTCTAATATGATGATTTGCTGCTCAAGAAACATTTCTGATTATTATCAATGTTGAAAATAGTTTTAACAAATTTAAATTCTTCTGAAAATGTAATACACCCTTGCTGCATAAAAGTATAATTTCTATAAAAAACAACAACAACAACATACGAACCCAAAACCTTTGAACGGCACTGAATTTATTATTTAAAAGTACTATGCAAAATGATGCAGAATGCTAAATTGTTGTCACATGACCTTGTTGATCATGTCAAATTGTTGTCACATGACCACATGACTTGATCATGTTGCAGTTTTTGCATGTTGCAATTCAGTTTAATTCTGGAAATGCTGTCCAGTTATTTTTAATCCAATAATGTGTAAAAATATACTTATGGCAGCATGAAATAGAGTTGAAATAGAAATGAAAATAGGATTAGTAATATACAAACAAGATTAATACGTATTACACTATTTGCAGTATGAAAAATGAATCCAAATCGAATGTTTATGACCAAAATACAAGTCACGTTATAATGTTTGAGTGATGTCTTTAAAATGGAAAACAAGATTACAAACATTTGGTTTAGTTCTATGGGAGCCCATATCCACCACATAAGAAAAAAAACAACACATGCTTCTGTAAATCATAATGTAGAAATTATGACATACCGAGTCAACTTAAATGAACAAATCCGTCTGGACTACTTTTATGCAATTGTGACATTCACTAACTCTCAGCACTGAACTGAAGACTGTTCGTCTGTCTCTCCTGTACAGTGGGTGATCCTACTTTGGACCAACTGAGAGAAGAGAAAGAGTTTGCTGAGGGACAGGTATAACTCCTCTGTTCTGTATTTGTTAACGGTTTTAGGATGTCATATCTGTGTAAATGTCTCAAATCTGCCATGTTTTCCTGCATGGATCAGATCAACTTCCTGAACTCTGTGATTGTGGACCTCCAGAGGAAGAATGATGAACTAAAGGTGAAGCTGAAGAAAATGGCGTTGACCGAGTTCAATGGAAATGATGAAAATGATGAGTGAGTCCAATTGGGTTTCAAAATCTTCACTTGCCACTTTTCTGTCTGGCAGATCAGATAGCAGCCAGAAACTGGAGACAAATGCTTTGCCAACATAGTACAACTTATTTTAGTATCATTAAGATGCTAGTAGTTTTTATTAATATTTTGAATTGGTTTTATTTTTTATATTTTAATTTTAAAGTTTGAGTAATTTTGTTGTGTGTTTTTGTCATGTAAAAAATATGTATAATATAGTTTTTATAAATTTTTATTTCAGTTATTTTTTATTTATTTTAGTACATAAAGTTATGTATAAAAATGAGAAATGTTACTTTGGCTACTAGCTATATATATTTTTCTATTTCAGTTAATGTTTATTTTAATTTCAAGCAATTCATTTAAAAAAAAAATTATTTTAGTTTTAATTTCTCTCTCTCTCTCTCTCTCTCTCTCTCTCTCTATATATATATATATATACATATATTAGGGTTGTCAAATGATTAATCGTGATTAATCACATCCAAAATAAAAGTTTTTTTACATAACATATGTGGGTGCATTGTGTATAATTATTTTATATAGATAAAAACACACGCATGCTTGTATATATTTAAGAAATATTTTCATGTATATACTGTATATAGATGTATGTATAATTTATATTATATATAAATATAAATATTTTATATATAAATGATATATTTTTCTTAAATATACATGCATGTGTGTGTATTTATATATATATACAAAATAATTATACACAGTGCACCCACATTTATGTTTATATGTTTATGTTCCATACATATTTTTTACATATTATGTAAAAAAAACTTTTATTTTGGATGTGATTAATCGTGATTAATCATTTGACAGCCCTAATATATATATATATATATATATATATATATAATAACCCTGGGATGTGGTCACGTTGTACATACTTAAAATGCATTGCACTATTGTTACTATTACTGTTGTTTTCTTCGAAAAGCGTTTGTCATAATAAAATGTTTTTGTTTATCCTCTTTCTCTCAAGTCTTGGTAAGGACAAAAAGAAGAAGAAAGCCCCACCACGCGTCTTCTGCGACATCTGCGACTGCTTCGACCTGCACGACACGGAGGACTGTCCCACGCAAACGCAGTCCCCAGACTCGCCTCCGCACACCACCTACCACGGGGCCCGCAGCGGCGAACGGCCGTACTGCGACATCTGTGAGGCGTTCGGTCACTGGACAGATTCTTGCAACGATGACCAAACCTTCTGAACTTCTCTTCAACCCCTCCGCCTGTGAGCAGGCTATGCACAGATCGCTTTCAACCAGATTATTCGCTATTTTTCTACACAGCGTATATACATTCGAACCTCTTGTACATTCCTTGAAACGTATCCGTCCATATGAAGGCTAAGGTATGCTGCATTGATGGAATTTGAATTATGAAGATGAGAGATATTTCTATGTGTTACTAATACCGTTTTGTGTGTTTCATAAGTTTTTGATCCACCGATGAATTACCAGCAAGAAAAATAGGCCCGGTTTAATGATACTTTGCTGTGTATTTAAAGCTGCTGAGTGTAATTTCTACTCCCCCAGAGGCTCAAAATGGAATTGCAAAAATAATGACCATTTTCAAACAGGTTTCTCAAACACTCCTTTTCTTCCATTGTAGCTCCGCCCCAAACTCACGCCATTGGTTGAGTCAGAAGTTGACATTTCGGACGGCTCAAACAAACAGCGATGTTTTGAAAGCGCCACAGAGTGTGTTCGAAATGGTTTACTAGCACACTGCAAACCGCTCAGTTTACTCTGAATATTGCCCACAATGTTTTTAAGTAGTATATGAAACGGTACACATTATGCAACAATGAATAATACGGCAAGAAAATTTAGTTAAAAATCATAGCTTCCAGTTTTTCTGTCACACGTAAAATCGACTCAAGACGAGCACACTGCATTATGTGATTGATTTTAAACTGCAGATTTTTACTCAGGCATTCTAAGCATACCGAAATTATACATACTATGCACAGTATAAATACTATATACTGCAGAAACATTACTAGCAGTATGGTAGTATGCTATTGCGAACATAGCCACCGTTGTTGCACTTTTTGGTAATTCACCCTACGAACGGTTTACTTACAGTTGTATCTGCACATTAAACCAGGATAGAAGATTTTAATGAAATGATTTTAATGAATAAAAAATACACACTTCAGCTTAAGGAACTCATAACGGACTGTTATCACAGGCACAAAACCGTATGACCAGTGCACCAAACTAAGCTGAAGCTAACCACTATTAACTTATTGCACTTCTCACTTTAAATGTATACAGCACATGAGTTTAACTGCCATTCTTTGAAACTAAGTTATTCTTTTTACTGTTAAATGTCAGACATATAGTCATGATATTGTCATATGAATGGCTTTTTATGTGTATTTTTGATGTTATGTCCTGTAGACTTCAGGCCTATTCACACCAAGTCCAAAGTTTTGGCACAAAAAAAAGATTAACTTTTTTGTTGTACGGACAAAAGATTGATTTATTAGGGCCCAAGCCTTGAAAAGGCGAAGGCCCTATTGTTTTCCTTAGGATTATTATTATTATTATTATTATTATTATTATTATTATTATTATTATTTTATCGACTATTCGGGCACTTTTGGGGCTCTTAACGTGCACGAAAACTCTTGAAACTTTGCACACTGGTCAGAACCCGCGGCCATCAGGGCCGGGCTGAAGCTGGTACCCGGGCGTGGCAGGGGGGCTCGACAGCGCCCCCTGGAACGGGGTCCGAGAACTTGGTCCATAAATCAAACACGCTTCCATGTAATAATATGAAACTCGGTACACATATAGATCTCATCGGTTCATATATCCTTTGTACTTTTACTTTTTACCCCAGCCCAACAGGAAGTCGGCTATTATGGTTTGTTTGGAAGCGTATGCCCCTGGAATTCGATATACTCCTCCTAGAGAATTCAACCAATCGCAAGGAAACTCGGTCAGCATGATGTCAAGACATTGAGGATGAAAAATTGCCAGGGGATTTTTCATATCTCGAACGGTTTGGCCGTGGCGAGGAAACGAATTTATGGCGAATAATGGAAACAGGAAGTGTGTTATAACTTCTGCATACATTAACTGATCTTGATGAAACTTCAGCAGTGTGTTCGCTGTAAGAGTCCGATCACATGGATGTGACTATTGTGAGTCAAAGTTATAGCGCCACCAACTGGCAGCAGGAAGTGTGTCACTTTCAAAATGCTTTGAAATCACCCTCTTATTTTAACCTGATTTGCTTCAAACTTCACTACTATAATGTAAACACACGGCAGATGTAGACCTGTGAATGGATTCTTGATATCTTAGATACTGTTGTCGTGGCAACGCATCAAACTTTAATATTCTTTTTTTATGCTTAGCATACTTGAAATTGCATGAAACTCGACAGACACATCTCATTTATTAGCCTGTAGACATGTGCAAAGTTTCAGAAACGGGCGTGTTGAGGGCTCAGTAGCGCCACCTTTTGTCAAAAGTGGGGGGATTAATTTTATCTACAGTAATAAAAATCGGTATGTGTATTCTTCTCCTCGAGCCAGACAACTTTCTAATTTACACTCAATAGCTCCAACCAACAGGAAGTCAGATATTTTGGTTTGAAAATTGTCATTTTATGTCTCTCTCTCTCTCTGAGCCTAACGTCTCTGTGTGTGTGTGTGTGTCTGTGAGTCTGGGGAGGGGGAGGGGGGCTAGATTAACCATTTGACTGCTGTGTGGTTTGGCCTGCATTTAAAAAAGAAAATAAATGTCTTACGCCTTGTATTTTTTAAATAAGTTGTATTAATAAGTAAAGGCATATAACCAGTTGAATTGTAGTGCATTGAACATAGTTTTATATAATTAGTTTATTAATTAAATTAACTTGGTCCATAAACTTCGTCAGAAAATTTGGTCCATAAATCAAACACACTTGCATGTAATATTATGCAACTCTGTACTCATATAGATCTCATCGGGCCAAACAACTTTAAGCCAGCCCAACAGGAAGTGGGCTATTTTGGTCTTAATGTGGATGTTTTGCAAAACCAGGCTCTACATTTTTACCCACTCCTCTTAAGTGGTTTATTTTATTCCCACCAAACTTTTTCAACATGATGAAAATACATTAAAGAAGCATAATTGTGAATATCTATTGAATATCTCTAATTGTTTTGCTATGGTGAGGGATTAAAGTCATGTAAAAAAAAAAAAAAAACACTAAAAGCCTCATATCTTCTAAAAATGTAATTATACACCATTTATTTCTAGATAAAATTATACAAATATCAGAACTAAACCCATTTTATTCTTGTTTTCAATTTAAGAATAATGTACAAGTTTAAAAACAGCCAGGATGCACTATTCAGTTAAAAAATAAATATATCAAATAATACATAGGGCTATACTGCCCTCTTGTGTTCAAAATCAGGTAGGCCTGTTGTATTTAAATATAGGTAGCTGCTATGTGACTCCGAGAATTTTTTCTCACCGGTTATTTGACGTGTAACACCGGGGGCTTTTATATCGCTAAGTTAAAAGTGAAAGTAAAGTAAGGACATTTATAGTGGTGGCGCTCGCAGTGCGCTCGAATGAATTTCTATGGAAGTAGAAATGAAAAAACGTTCGCTCTGTTTTGCTCGCTCGTCGCCATGGATGCGCACTGTAATGAATGCCACTGCAGCCGCATACTTTTTAGTGTCACTTTAAAATTAGTGCAATATCGGGGGCCAATTGCTTGAATTGTGAGTTCAATAGTCTATTATTTTTCACGGAAAACACAACAACAAAAGAGTTCAATGACAGATTCGCTTAAATAGGCGCTTTTACATAAAATAGCCTATTCCGTCATCATCTTTTCAGTCAGCTCTTCACTCTCGTGATTAATGAAATTTGACTCCTATTGCTGATATTTGCTGCAACTTTCGTTCTGCTCACAATTTAGTAAGCAAACACGTTTCAAATGTGTTTTTATTTTATTTTTGCGTATATATATGTGTGTGTATAATATATATATGAATATAGGCCCTATATACATATATATATATATATATATATAGCTTATGTTTCAAATATGAGTTAATTAACAATCGTTTGAAAGAATGATACTTTTAAACATATCACTAAACCGTCATTAGGTGTCGCCAGGCGACCGTCTTAATGAGCGAGTCATTGATTCATTTGTTCGAACGATTCGTTCGAACGGCTGAGTCATTCATGAATCAGACAGATTATGGATTGGTCATTGAATCTTTCAGTCAACCGATTCGTTCAAAATGCTGAATCATTCAGTAATGAGAAAACACGTTGCTGTGAGATGCGCAATGGTTCTGCTGCGATCTTTGTTTAACTAGTTTCACTGCTGAAACAGAAAAAAGTCAATATTGCATATAAAATGTAAGTGATTTGACGTGTGTGAGAGAGAGATTGTGTCTGTTACAGTGACAAGAGTTTAACCCTTTAAGGCCTTGTCTTTTTGGATATATATCTCTTTTTTTATTACAAAATGTGCATACAACCCATATATTGTAAATGTATTGTTTGCTTTAAATTAAATTAAGATTGTATGTTTGGTAATTGAACCTAAATAAATTTTAAATTAGGAAGTCGGCTATTATGGGTTTAGGAAGGCCGATCAGATGGATGTAACTATTGTGAGTCAAAGTTATAGCGCCACCAACTGGCAGCAAGAAGTGTGTCACTTTCTAAATGCTTTTGACAAAAGTGGGGGGGTTAGTTTTATCTACAGTAACAAAACTCGATATGCATATTGTACTCTTCGAGCCGGACAACTTTCTAATTTACCGTAATTAGCTCAGATTAAGAGGAAGTCAGATATTTTGGTTTGAATATGGTGAGCCTCTCTCTGTCTCTCTCTGAGCTAATATGGCAAGCCGTTTTAACATTTAATCATTTTAACCTACTAGTCTCTATTTTCATGCTACTAGTACTTATTTTTTAGATACTAGTATCTATTCCATTAAGTACTAGTACTTATTCATTAGCGACTAGTGCTTATTCTGTTTAGAATATTCAAAGTGCTTATTCAATTTTTATGCTTATTTATATTTTCAGAGCAGAAAATCCGATTTTTCTGCTTATTCAATATTGCATCTAAAATGTAAGTGACTTGACGTGTGTGTGTGTGTGTGAGAGAGAGAGAGAGATTGTGTCTGTTACAGTGACAAGAGTTTAACCCTTTAAGGCCTTGTCTTTTTGGATATATATCTTTTTTTTATAAAAAAAGTGCATACAACCAATATATTTTAAATGTATTGTTTGCTTTAAATTAAATTAAGATTGTATGTTTGGTAATTGAACCTAAATAAATTTAAAATTAATGTTCTATATTTCAGATCAATATATTTGTTTTCCTTCATTTTAATCAACACTAACTTTATTCTCATCTGAATTATAAATAACTTATTTCTGTATAAAATAAAAAATCCCGAATAATCCAGACCAACCAGAGCGCACTATTTCTACAACATCATCAGTGCTGAAGCGGAACTACCAGAGCCGTTTGGCAGATAGCGAGCAGATATTTTGTGTCACGTCGTGCACAATAACCCTAAAGGCACCAGGGTGGCGGTGCCACCGGCTTTTTATATATATATATATATATATATATAAATATAGCTGCGAGCAGCGATGAAGGGCCAAAGCCGGCGGCACCGCCACCCCGGTGCCTTTAGGTAACTAAAGGCACCGGGGTTGCGGTGCCACCGGCTTGGGCCCGTAATCGCTGCTCGCAGCTATATTTTAAATTGATCACATGCCGTTTCTTCAGGTATCCAAACTTTTCAGAAAAACTCAGTGTGAAATAGTTTTGGTGCAAAAAATGGTTTGCAAATATTCATGTATTCTAGTCATCTCAAACTTGGTGTGAAAAGACCCTTTGCTAAAGCACAATTTTTAAGCACAAAATCATATTGTATCTCTTATTATTGATGTAATATTAACAACAAAGTTTATTTAGAAACCTTATAAACTGCAAGTGTTAGAATTGGTAACCCGCAATGACCTGGTGCACAAGATTATATTAAATATGTATAATATTCATGATTATTCCCCTTTTGTTTAAATTCATTTGATCAGAAAATTTTGCATAAAGTACAAATATATGGTCTGTTTTTACTGAAATATTGTGATAGTCTTTAACTATTGTACTGTTTCATGTACTGTATATTCACCTGAACTCAATACAAACATTGAACAAATTTTTCTTGTCATTGTCTGGATACCTTGAGCCTTCTGTTCTGACTACACATTCATTGTGTGAAAAGCATTTAGTCATTCGTTAACATCAAATAACAATTCTACCCATAGTTCTGAGGTGTTTCTGTGTGGTTGCTATGGTGTTCACTATGTTGCTAAGGTGTTTGGAGTATCTTCCCTCAAGTTTCTCAATTTCACGGAAGGGTGATCACCAAATTCCCATCCTACAATTCCCAAATAAAACAGAAGGGGCCCGGTCAATAATTCATGTCTCTTT